GGGGACGAACCGACGCACATAATTAACGAACCCTAAAAAACTCTGCAGCTCCGTGATGTTCGTCGGGGGGTGCCACGCTTTTACCGTGTCCAGCTTCTTTGGGTCAATCTCAACTCCAGCCTCCGAAATAACGTGCCCCAAAAATTCTAACCTATCCTGGAAGAACTCGCACTTGGAACCCTTGGTCAGTAGTCAGTGCTCGTCTAAAACTTTAAACACTGCTTCCAGATCTGCTAAGTGCTGCTGCTCATCGCGACTGTAGACTAGGATGTCGTCGAGGTAAATTATCACGAATTTATCTAAGAGTGGCCGAAACGCCTCGTTCATGGTCATCTGAAATGTCGCCAGTGCGTTGGTCAGCCCGAATGGCATCACGGTGTACTCGAATGAACCGTACCTAGTCCTAAATGCCGTCTTGGCGCAGTCCGATGGTTCGACTCGAATCTGATGGTAACCTCCCCGTGAATCTATTTTCGAAAAGACCCGTGCTGTTCGCAGTTGATCCATCAGTTCGTCGGCGCGGGGAATGGGGTATCGCGACTTGACTGTTACCCTGTTCAGTGCTCTGTAGTTGATACACATGCAAAACCCTCCGTATTTTTTCGGTGTGAACAGTATCGGTGCGGCGAACGGTGACGAGCTCGGTCGGATGATTTTTTTCTCTAACAGGTAGTCTAACTGCTTCCTCAGTTCGTCGAGCTCGGACTGTGTCAGTCTGAACTGTCGCTGTACGGTTGGCTGTGCCCCTGGTTCTAGTTCTATGCGATGGTCGTGTGCTCGCTGAGGTGGCAATCCCTCCGGCAAGTCGTTCGGAAAAATCCCCGGGTACCATTTCAGTAGTTCCTATAATTCGGGCGGTACGGCTGCCAGCAGTTTCTGCAAATCACTCGGCTGCTCTGCTTCTCCTACCAATGCGATATCCACCGCGTACACGTCAACTCCAGCGGCAACGGCCTGTTTCATTGTGATGGCGTTGACGTGGACCGTCGAAGACTCGGGTGACCGCCAGCGAGGTAGTTCGACCCAGTTACCACTACTTCGCACAGTGCAGCTACCCGTCGTCCAGTCGATTCGCGTATTGTAGCGTCGCAGCCAGTCACGTCCCAGTAAAATGTCGTGCCCATCCAGTGTCATCGCGAGCATTTCCTGTGTAAACCCGAAGTTCCCCCCGCAGCGAACTTTCACCCTCTCCACTTTTTCCCGTATTGCCAGTGGTGTGCCGTCAACTAAGCGTGCATCAATCTCCGGTAAACAACGGCTAAGCATCACTTGCAGCTTCCGTGCAGTTGCGGTAGTAACTAAACTGTGGCTTGCTCCTCCGTCTATAAAAATCTTCACTGCTGTCCCCTGTATTTTCCCGTAGATCAGTATTGGGCAATCCGTCGCTGTACCCTCCTTATTCATCCGAGCCCGATCGATGGCGTGAATCGGTACTGTGACTCGGTGAGGGTTGGTGAGGTTGGGCGAGCAGGTTGTCTCGTCAGTAGTTGGCCCGTTTTCTACTGACTGCTGGAGTTTCCCTGCCTCTGAGACTCCCTCCCCTGCTCTACTCCGCGGCGTCTCTGCTCCTCTGGGCATTCACTCTTGCGATGGCCCGGCCTATTGCAAGCAAAGCAGCGCCCCTTGAATGGTGCAGTAGCTGCATTCGCCGTAACGGCGTGTACGGTGGCGTGCTCGGTCGGCCCACGGGGGCGATGTCCGTAGTAGGACCCCAGTCTCGGACGGCGCAAAATGTCGATTTTCTCGGCGAGCGCGAGGATCTCATTGAAATTCGATAGCCCGCGTAGCATGATTTCGTGCGAGATGTCCGGCTTCAGCCATCCAACGTAACGATCCACCCGCTCCGCCTCGTGCATGTAGCCGACTTGCTCGCATAGTGCGAGAAAACCGCTCGTATAATCTTGGACCAACCCAAGTTGTCGCCAAGTACGCAGTTTCTGACGCGCTGAGATAGAAGCCGCGATCGGCTCGAAGCGCGCCCGAAGCCCTGCGCACCACGCATCCCACGTGCTGTACTGGGCGGTTTTGCAAAATGAACTCCAGGTGACGGCTGTACCCGTGGGCCCTTCCTCTTGCGACGGCGGCTCGGAGGCGCGTGGCGACGTCACGATGACTCGCCACCAGTCCATGGCGGGGCCCCGTAGCAGCGAAACGGCGTATCGTATCTTCGCTGTGTCTGACTCGACGTAGTTCGCGTCGAAGAAGACGTTCATCGTGAAGACCCACGATTGAACCGTCGGACCTCCACGTTGGCTGGGGTCGAAACAGGGCGGGCGTTGCGGCTTGAGCGGCATTGGTGCGACGATGTTGTCGTGACCGCTCGTTGCTGCGAATTCGACGTGACGACGGGCTTCGCGAGGCCCACTCGTGCTTGGTGTGACCCTGTTTCTCTCCATGCCGGGCATTGATGACATAATCTAGCAGCAGGAATGGTTGAACTATGGAAGTATTGGGTACAAATATGAAACCCTAAAAAGGGGCTGTACCCCATATTGGCTACCCCACTACAGCCTACACATATATAACATGCATATACTTTGACAATTGATTGGGCGACGCCATCACTGGCTGCGCCTGAGCGCTGTCCCATGCTGTCGTGATGTGACGGTGTGCCGGATGAGATGACAATCGGCTCATCCGATTGCGCAGGTGCATTTGCAGGTGCTTGTGTTGGTGCTGGTGCATTCACCGTTGATTGCTGGCGGGCGGAGTCACGTTCCGCCGTGAGTGTCGCGATTTCGAGCGCCGAATCCTCGAGTTGGCGGATGAGCCGGTCGATTTGCTCCTGCGTCAACGTCACGAGAGTGAGGTCGGCCATGGTGGGGGTGTCGGGCAAGCTCAGCGAGAGCCTCAGTCGTGGACATGCGTGCTTTCGAGAGAGCACTTCGAGCGGCGGTGCCTGAACGCTGAGAGACGTCTACCCCCTCCAAAAATTGAGATAGTGGGGAAGCGAAGGTGTGGGTGCGATCCGAGAAAAGATTGTAGGCTCTGATACCAAGTGTTACGAGTGCAATTGAGCGAGCGAGCGAGAATTGCACTATCGAAGCAAAAACAATACAATGAGCGAAGGCATGAGCGAAGAATATATAGCGAAGCTAGTGTGGTAACGGTAACGCGAGAAATTGGGGTGCGCTACGGGCCTAGCGCTGAGGTTGGGAAATGTCGAGGCGGAGGTCCGGTGCGCGGGTTACCAACCGAACCGTGAGGTTGGGTCGCATCGTGAACAGTGGCGGGAGTTGTAGTCGAGGCGAGTGTCGCGAGCGGGTAACGTTTCACTAAAAGGTGCCGATGGCGGGAATGGTCATGTACGCGGTAAGCAGGGGCGTGAAGTAAGGAAAAGGAATTTTCCTTACAAAGCCAAACAACAAATATTTTTTACTGAGTTCACTTTCAGTGCTATTTGGGGCACTTTATTAGCTTGGAAACTGAAGTTGATGTACTGCTGACATATATTTCAAATGTACACATGAATGTACTGTACTTCCAGAAATGACTCGAATGTATTGTGTGTCACATTATCCAATAGTAGACGCCTTTCGCTCGTTGCGCTGAATATTGGCAGCCGCCGAAGCTTGGATTCATTGGCTAATGAATCTGCGCTACGTGGATACTGCCGTCGAGCTGTCCAAACAGCAGTAGAAATTTCGGCTCGGGTCGGGTGGGGCAATCCACCTGCTGTGACAGTGACAGGAGTGAACCCTCCACGTCATCATGAAGTACGAACCTTTCATCACGACGTTTCGGCAACAGATTTGCCTGATGCGAAATTCGCCGTTATTTTCGCAGAGGGCACTGAGGGGACATTTGGCTCTCTAAACGTCGCAGGGGCGGGTCTCGCGAGCACGTGATTCGTCCTGAATTACCCGACAATCCTTTTACGTCCCCTCACGCGTGGCAAACATCCTCAAAGCCGCGTCGACGGGGATATCCCCCTGAGCTCGCCACGTCATAAAATAAATACACAAATGAGCCACGTCATTGACATTCTGCTTGCGTGACGGGAACTTCACTATCCCCATAAGCATTGGGAGGATGGACCTGGAGATTGCTTGGCTGATCCCTGATCAGAAATTCCGGATTACATTGGGAACTCCTCACAGGTCATCTGCCACAGCACCACTTGAAGCAGGATTCAGGAACCAGGCTCAGCAATTGCTGATGGCAGTAGCCGCCAGCCGGAGCCTGTGATGCGACGAGGTAGAATCCATGAGTCCCATCCCATCCTGAGTTCACGATTCTGACACAGTAGGGACCCAACATGAGTGCATGATTGCAATGCACAATCACCTTCATGAATGTTTTCACCATCATCATCCATCGGATAGTTTCAGGAAGTTCCGCAGGAGCAGCAGCAGCAATTGCTGAGCCATCTCGGGTTGGCCCAAGCAGCAGGTCGACAGTAGTTACTGAGAAGGAAAACAGCAGAACAGCATTGCACAAGTTGAATCTACGTGTTCACTAGGTGAATCTTGAGTGTAGTTCTAGTCGTTACAACCTCTCGCACCCGCGAAGCCTCGTTAGCTTCCTGCACGTTCTGTAGCGCCAAGGGATTATCCTCATTTGTATACTCGTTATCACCCTTGAGATTTAGTTGAGCAGTTATCTGTGTAGTATCACGGCCTGTCTGAAAGGTTCACTGCTTTGCATTTCGGCCAGAGGGTAGTTCGTCTTGTCTTTTTCAATGCATGCTGTGAGAATCTTCTAAACCGAAGAGCTATGGCCAAGGGAGCAGCCAAGTCCAAGGGTCATAAAGCCCGGTCCGAGAAGAGAAAGAAGGAAGAAAAGGGTAAGTCAGCGCAAAGAACGCCCCACAGTGTGGATGAGCGTTTTTTTTTGTCAAAATTGAGGGAATATTGTCACCAATTTCCTGCTTCTGAACTCTTCATAATCCAAACTAATGGAGTAACCCGGCTGCTTCCAGTGAACTCAGTCATAATACATACTTTCATGCCTTAGCTCTTTTTAAAATATTGCCTTCTACTGGTTCCATCCCATTGCAGTGATTCCCACGGTTCTAGACATAGTGGTCAACGTCCCGGGAGGAAAGCAGATCTTGCTTAAGGTTAGTTCCTACATTCTTTCGCCAAGATTGTAACGGATTTGAGCAATGAACTAGGAAACATCTGGTCGGAGTTTCTTTCACTCTCTACATAGCTGACGCATTCTCCCAAGCCAACAAGCCAGTATCTAGCGCTTAATTCGGAAAAGGGTTCCGTATCCTTTCGTCAATGGTAACCCGATCCTGCTGCAGGGAATATCAACAGACCGCATATGGGACGTTCGACGGCTCCTGGCCGTACACGTGGACACATGCCACTTCACCAACTTCTCCCTCGCACACGAGGTGCGTGCTTTTTACGAGTGCCTTATGCCCCTCTCTCCTCCTCCCTACGGACTTCACTGGTGGAGTTCAATCCTGTGCACTACTGCAAGGCTCTAACTCCAATCATTGATTCGTTCTCACGCGTTCGCTATTCTCATAGACTGTAGCTAACTTGCTGGTCCTTCTCCGACGCCATCGTGTCCCCTGCATATCAGTGCCATCTCTCTCGGCCACCACAATTGTTGAGTAAGGCGCCTCACAACTTGTTTCACTCCTCCACTTCCCGGCGGCGACTGCAGGTCCGCGGTCCTCATCTGCGTGACTCCGCGGATGTGGTAGCACTGAAGCCTTGCGTCCTTGACCTTGTTCAAGGTGAGATTAAATGCCTTTTGGCCCATCTTGTCCTCCCTGCGTGGCTTGCAAGACCCGGAGGAGGTACTGCAGAAGCTGTGTCTCCCAATCCCTGCTCTCCTTCCCTTTCCTCATCCCTCACACGCCCCGCGTTTCCCAAAGCTTCTCTGTGGTCTCTTCTCTCCTCTTCCCTTCCTAGACGCATTAACACGCCAGACTTCCACATCCTTTCCCTTGGCCGGGAAGTAAAAGTGTGACTGACAACAAGGAAAGAAATAAGGACTAAGTGCTGAACGAGAAGACGAACCTGAACGTCCTCCCTTGCGTCCCAAACACGAGCTAGTCCTGGACTGTCAGCTTCTGTCCATATCCCACCAGTGCCCTCACAAAGAAGTACATACAGACATCCGTCACCGCCCACACTTACAAATTGCTGGACTTTGTCTCCTGCACTGCCGCCTTCCTGTCGAGGCCGCCTCCCACTAACCGGCCTCGATGTTTCCACATCTCGAACTGGCATTCAACTCAACTGTGGGCCTTCCTCCCTTCCGCCCTGCCCTACCCTGCGGCGATTCTCCGTTTCTCAGAGGAGTACACGGAGGCATCTGCCAAGGCCCACATCCGTCGCTCCTGGACATCACGTCCTCATTCCTTAGCTGGTATTCTACTTTGATTTCCCCTTCCCCTCCGCCCTGCTCAACCCTGCAATATTCTCCCCTTTCGCAGAGGAGTACACGGAGGCATCTGCCAAGGCCCACATCCGCCGGCTGCTTGACATCGTGTCCTGCACTCTCGCCTTCGGACCCTCTACCAAGCAACGCGAGGAGGCTGAAGCAGCAGCCGCAGCAGCAGCAGAAACAGCTGGAGAAGTAGCAGAAGGAGCAGCAACGGCAGCAGCGTCTGCACCCACGTCCGGTTCCCCTCACCAAGGCAGCAATGCAGGCTCGGCAGCAACCGAGCCTGCAAACCCAGGCGGCGCTGACACAGCCCTGGCCCCCCTCCATGAGCCAGCCCCCGAGGCAAGCAGCAGCGTGGCGGAATTCGGCAAAGTGCTGGGGCTTGGGGACGTGGGCGGCTTCCTCAAGAAGAAGCCGGGCGAAGCAGCAAGCGCGGGGGGGCAGGCAGGGGCTCAGGGGGCAGGAGGAAGGGACGTGGCGGTGGCAGGTGCAGAAAGTGCGCAAAAGCTGGGGAAAGAGCTGCAAAAGGTGGGAAAAGAGGTGGGGAAAGATTTAGAGAAGGAGGCGGGGATAGAGGTGGGAAAGGACCTGTTTGTGACGGGCGCGGATGGCAAGCGGCGGTTCAAGGGGAAGAGGGAGGCGGTGGAGGCGATGGCGGCGGCAGCAGCGGCCACAGAGAAGGGCGACATGACAGGGATGTTCCCTGAGGAGTCGAAGCTGGGGGAGTTTTACGAGTTCCTGTCCGCTGCTCACCTCACTCCGCCCATTCAAGGTGAGTGCTTGATCTTCTGCTGTGAGGAGAGTCCCTGAGCCGGCGGGTTTAGGGTCCACAGAGAAGGGCGACATGACAGGGATGTTCCCCGAGGAGTCGAAGCTGGGGGAGTTCTATGAGTTCCTGTCCGCTGCTCACCTCACTCCGCCCATTCAAGGTGAGCCCCTTGGCTCTCCTGCTGTGAAAAGAATCCCCTGAATTCTTCCTCCTGTTGCTGCTGCTGCTGCTGCTGCTGTTGCCAGTGTCGTTCACCTCAGTCCTACACGCTCGTGAGTACTCTCAGACTGTGAAACCTCTGTCTGCCTGATTCCCTGGCTGGGCAGGAGCTTGATGGGATGCGTCAGTCTGATACCCTGGCTGGGCAGGAGCTTGATGGGATGCGTCAGTCTGATACCCTGGCCCCATGCTGGGCACACACGGTGACCTCACCTCATTATATTTCTCCCCATGCCCCATCTTCAATCCGCCACAGCCATTCGCAGGTCCCTGCGCGGGTCCGTCAAGGGCAAGGGGGCAGAGAAAAGCGGCACACAGGACATGCCGGACATGGGCACTGAGCTCTTCCCCATAGAGGTGGGTGGCTGTCGTCTCTGAGCTGGGCAGTCAGCTAGTATGATCCACTTGCACCCTTGCCTCCTCACGTTGCCTATCTTCCTTTCGCAGCCAACTCCGTGTCACTTTCTCCCTCCTCCTACTCTTCGTACTTCCCCATTTCCCGCTCTTCCTCCTCCGCCAAAAGGCAGAGCCCCTGGTCGGTTCGGAATTGATTGTTCCATTGCTGCTTATCTCTTGTTGCTTGCCTCTCGCCTCTGTCACTTGCCTCTTACCACTCGCCTCTCGCCTCTCGCCTCTGTCACTTGCCTCCTGCTTACTGCGGACTGCAGGTGCGGCTGTGCACGGGCAAGACGGTGCTGGTGGTTGCCACCACACAGGGGTTCCTGTGTCCCAGGAACAGGCTGCACGCGCCCACGCTCGCGGGCCTTCTGCGCCTGATGAGCAAGCCCTTCGCCAAGGTGGGCCATGGTTCTCAGCAGCACTGGTTGTCTTGACAGTGGTGAGTGAGTGAGTGCCTTGGGGGCCCTGTGTGCGAGGAGCAGGCTGCATGCATGCACCCATGCTCGTGGGCCATCAGCGCCTCGTAAGCAAGCCCTTCGCTAAGGTGGGCTATGGCTGTAGGAGAAATGGCCCTGGCTCACGATGAATCAACACTGGGTGATGGTGAGTGAGTGCCTCGGTGGCTGTTTTTTACATGGCATTCTTGTTCGAGCCAGGTGAATGTTCAAATTCCTCTATACGGTGCTGTTGTCCAGCATAAACCCTGCCTGTATTGACCTCTACTTCCCTCTCTTCCTTCCTGTTTTGCAGGCCTATGACGACTTGCTTGCTCTGTTCCTGGAGAGAAACAAGGTATGCTGACGTCACTGTTTTGTTGTACAGCACTAGTACCATGTGTAACAACTTCTGCTGCATAGCTGTTGCTTCACAAACATGGCTGCTGTTTTTGTTTGCTGAGTAAGAGTGCTAATCGAGTTTCATCCCGCCCATCTTCTGCTTTCCCTCGCCATGGCAGTTTGGCAACACACCCTACGGTTTCAGGTCCAACACGTGGGTTGTCCCTCCGCTCGCGGCTGCCAATCCGTCCGTCTTCCCCCAGCTCCCCATGGAAGACGGGGCATGGGGAGGGAACGGGGGCGGCTATGGCTGGCAGGAGGAGCAGGAGAAGGAGGAAACAGATGCATGTGCGGGGGCAGTAACAGGCAGAGACAGGGCAGTAGCAGGCAGGGACTGGGCGCGGGACTTTGCAGTGCTCTCTCTCCTCCCTTGTGACACTCCCGAGGAGCGTTTGGTGAAGGATCGCAAGGCCTTCCTCTTGCACTCCCTCTTCGTGGATACCGCCTCTCGCAAAGCCGTTGCCGCCATCAAGACTGCTACTGCTGCTGCAGCGGCAGTTTCTGGGGGGGCGGCAGCAGCTGCCGGGGCCGACATGGTTTCCACAGCCGAGGCAGTCTCCACGTCTGCCGAGCCTGGGTTGTCAGGTTCGGTAGCAGCGGTGGAGGATGGGGTTCTGCTGGTGGAGAAGCAGGGGGCGATGCGTGTGACTGTAATGAAGGGCGAGGAGGACCCGAGTGGGAAGGTGCTGTCGAAAGTGGAGGTGGGGTGGAGGAGGGTGGCAGAGGGGGAGAGGGAGGAGAGGGAGGAGGAGAAGAAGCGCATGGTAACGAAGAGCCTTCTGAAGGGGATATCAGCTGATGAAAGCACCGCAGTGCATGTGAGTGTGCGGCTGGCCTACTTTTCTAGCCTGAGCTCGTTGATCCTCACTCATATTCCATCACTCTTCCTCCATTCCCCCATAGCCAACATCTCCCAACACCTTGTTATTGTGCAACCCTCGACCTCACAACCCAAGTTGCAGGCCTGAGTCCTGGCCTCCCCACCCATATCAGCCTTTCTGCCTCTTCTCATCCATGCTCCCAACCCCCATCCTTTCCTGTCCGCTTTTGCCGCACACACAAGACCAATTGTTTTCACTTCCCCGGTTTCACAACCCAGAGTGACAGCTCCTGACAGACTAATTTTCCCTTCCCTATTTTCCTTCCTCCACCCTCTGCTCCCCCTCCCACCCCCCACACCCCCTGCCTCTCCCCCTTCTCCCACTGCCCCCGCCCACACAGACCATGAGTCCCTGGGCACAGTCATCGTTCACTTCAGGGTCGTTTGAATTTCAGTCCTTCAACATATTATCTTTCCCTCCTCTCTCACTCCCCATGTCTCCACCATTCCCCCACCCACACAGGACCTCGAGTCCCTGGGCACAGTCATCGTTCACTTGCAGGGCCTCACTGCGCGAGTGACTGTCCCTGACGCCCCTGCGCGAGCCCAGCAGCTACAGGCGCAGCTGCAGGCGCTGAGAGAGAAGGCAGGTCGGGATGGCAAGGAGGGTGACGGCGGAGAAGCGGGGCAGGGGAAGGAGGGCAGGGCGGGTAGAACGCCAGAGGATGGGGAAGGGAGGTGGGCTGGTGAGGGAGATGGTGGGGTACGTGTAAGGGAGGGAAAAGAGGCAAAGGAGCAGAGGGCTCGACGGGAGGAGGGAGGGAAGGAGGAGGAAGAGGAGGAGAGGCTGCTGGAGCTGGATATTCCAGAGCAGGAAGAAGCAGGCGCCAATGCACTGAACGCCAACAGGTGAGGCATGGTGCAAGCTTCATGGCATCGTTTTTAAGGCTCAAGTATCAGGATTCAGTTATTCAAGTTCGTTGTTGTGTATCTTGGAATAGTTAAGGACCCCTCTCATAACATCCCTGTACACCTACCTGCTGCATTGGTATGCCCGTTTCCCAACAGTCGTGTTCCACACATGCACCTCATGTTTGTTAATAGCACCTACAGACTTGAACGCTCTCGATCTGCACTTGCTTCATGGTTCACCAATGCAGACCTCTCACAGCGCACACACATTATCGGTCGGTCAGTCACCTATGATGAGCATCCATTCTCCTCCCCTTGCGCTGCAGCCTTCGGATCCTCCTGCATGCCCCAACACGTAGCCCTGTTTCAAGCAGCACCACCACAAGCAACGCTACCACGAGTGCCCTGGCCGCTTCTCCTGCTCCTGCTGCTGCTGGTGCTGCTTCCGCTGCTGGTGCTGCTTCCGCTGCTGGTGCTGCTGCTGAGGCAACGCTGCGTCAGGCGCTGTCTTTTGGGCTGGCGCGGCTGCAGCAGGAGGAGGAGGCGCAGCAGAGGGAGCGGATGGCTAGGAAGAGTGCCTTAGCGGAGAAGCTTGTAAAGGGGCAGGATGGAGTGGCGGAGGGAGGGAAAGAAGTGGAAGAGGGGGTGGTGGTGGTGAAGGGTGAGGCAGCTAGGTCTCTAGAGGTTGGCGAAGAGGGTGCGATGGGTGAAAAGGGTGCAGAGGTGATGGGGGTGGGAGACGGAGCAGCAGCAGAGGCAGCTGGGGAGATGAAAAAAGTAGAAGTGGGTGAGACGGAGGAGAAAGGTGTGAAGGAGGGGGAGGAGAAGGAAGGGAAGGAGGAGGAGGAAGAGGGAGATGTATTTGGGGATGGCATTCTGAGGTGGGAGCTGGGTGCGTGCTGGGTGCAGCACCTGCAAAACCCACCCAAAGAGGAGGAGAAGAGCGTGGAGGGTGGTGAGAAGGGTAAGGAAGTGGGGAGTCAAGAGGAAGGAGTCAAGGAGAAGGACGACGGGGTGAAGGCAGGGAGTGGAGGAATAGAGGGGGAAGCGGAAAGAGAGAAGAGTGGGAGTCCCCCTGCCACTCCTGCTGCTGCCACCACGTCTGCTTCTACTACCGGAGCTGCTGCCCCTGCTGTGGCCGCTGGTGCAGGCGAGGGGGAAGCAGCAGCAGGTGGGATGCAAGAGGAGCCCCTGGCAGCAGGCAGGCAAGGGGGGGAGCTGATGGAGTTGCTGGGCGAGAGCAAGTATGAGAAGCTCAAGAAGGCGGATGCGGGGCTGCATGCTATGGTGAGCCTGCTGCCTCCCTCTCTAGTCCTGTCTGCCTCCCTCTCTACTGTCCTGTCTGCCTCATCTCTGGCTTCCGTGTCTCGTCAGGCTATGTGCTGCGAGGCAGGCCAGCAGTAACGTGTTGACTCAAAAGTGTGCTTTCTGAGTCGAATCTAAGCGCGCTTGACATCTCTGGCTTCTGTGTCTCTGCACGGCGGAGTGGCCGCATGGCAGGCAGACATGGCCTGCTTGGATTCATCTCTGAGCTCTAGGCTCAAGCCCGTGTCTGCATGACCCGTTGACCAGCTGCTGGATCTCTTTGCTGTGCGACTTGGTCGTGCATTTAGCCTTGATGTTGTCTGCATTCAACTTCTCCCTCTTCTCCCTTCCAGCACCAAACACCTCCATACCTTCTGCGCTCTTTCCTTGCTCAATACCTTTCCGCACAGACTGTCCTGGAGCTCAAGCAGGGAGCACAGGTCTTCTACAGGAACACTGCCCTCTCTAAACTGGTAGGTTTCTTTTAAGCAATGTCAAAGGTCACTTTGGTTATCTCCTGTGTTTTGTATGTTTGGTCATTTTGTTTCCCTAGCTGGAAGGAAGTGCACACTCGCTTTTATAGCATATATATATACCCTTGCTATCCTGAGGCCAGAGTCCTGGCGCAACATTCTTTCACACGTTGCATGACTCTCTGCCATTGCCTTCGCTTTCAAGTATCTGATTCTGCCCGGTTGACGAGAATTGACTTGAGCTCCCCGGTTGGCGCAGTTACTAATCTCATGCACACACTCAGCTCCTCGTTTGCCACCCTCTCTCACCCTTTCACCCTTACATTGATGGTCACACGACCACTGAATATATGCCCTTAACTAGTCTTTCCATCCCCTCCTTTTCCCTCCCCTCCCTTCCCCTCCGCTCCTCTCCCTTCCCGTCCCGTCCTCTCCTCGGCTCACCTTGCTTCTCCTGTGTGCCCTCCCAAGGTCTCTGACTTCGCCTCTCTCGAGCTCTCCCCTGTGGGTGGGCGCACACTCACTGACTTCATGCACACCCGCGAGCTTCGAATAGCTTCCTGATCCCTTCTCTCCACTCCAACCCCCCTTTCCCCCACTCCCCGCCTCTCCTGTGTGCCCTCCCAAGGTCTCTGACTTCGCCTCTCTCGAGCTCTCCCCTGTGGATGGGCGCACACTCACTGACTTCATGCACACCCGCGGCCTGCGCATGCGATCCCTCGGCAAAGTGGTCAGTACCCAACACTCTACTGCTAGCTCACTGCTGCATATTCATCCCTTTCTCTCCTACTTCCTGATGGTTGCACACCCACTGACTTTCATGCACACCCATAATCTCCACCCTTCCCACTTCCCCTGTCCCCTGCTCCTCCACCCACGCCCCTAGACGTGAATCTTAGTAAAGCTTTCATGCGTGCACACTCGCGGTCTGTGCATTCATGTACTCATGTAGATGCAACCCTGTAGCGAAGTTGCATTTTCATTTTTACCGAGAACTGAAAGTGACCATCCGAGGCAGCGTCCCTCGCATTCTCCATTCTCCTCTGCTTTGTCAGTCCTCCTCACTTCCCTCCTCTCTCTTCCCCCCATTCTGCTCCACTATCTCCGCCTCCCGTGCTGCCCCAGGCGGCACTAGCAGACAAGCTGCCCCACGTGCGGTCCTTGGCAGTACATGAGATGGTGGCGCGAGCACTGAAGCACACTATCCAAGCAGTTGTCACCACCACTGCACTCTCCACTTCTGCCGCTGCACCTGCCGCTGCACCTGCTGCTGCACCTGCTGCTGCTGCTGCTGGAGCTGGTGCCTCCAGTTTCCTGGTAGCAGCCAGCATAGCTGCTACTTTCAATGCTATCTTTGGGTCGTCCATGCATAACAAAGGGGCAACTGCTTTCTCTAATGATGACGGCTGCAAGGGGGAGGAGAGGGGAGCGGGGGATGCGGAGGCGGCGTTGGGAGGCATGGTGTGGCGGTGGGTGCGTGTGTTTGCGCGAGTGCGGTTCGGGTTTGAATTGGACGATGAGGCGCTGGCGGGTCTGCGCATGCTCTCGCTGCTCAGAGCGCTCTGCCTCAAGGTGGGTCCGCGCTCAGCTCATAGTGCTCTCAGCGACTGAGTGGGCGGGCGGACTCTCTTGTCCACTTGCTGATTCAGCCTCTGTTCTTTCTTTCTCAATGCCTGTCACTCTCCTCCCTTGGTTTCCCTCCCAACCTCTCTCTCGCCTCTCAATGTCGGAACCTACCCTCGCCCCCGTAGACACCTTCCAAGTTCCCCTTTCACTCAATTTCCCGTACTCTTTCCGTCTCTCCCTTCCCCTCCCCCACCCCACTCTTTACGCTTCTCCGTCTCCCTCTGCCCCGCGCCCAACTGGTGGTCATTGAGATCGCCCCCAAATTGTACAACTTCAGCTCGCCCACGCACTTAGAGACGTCTCCCCAGATCGTCAAAAGCCCTCCCCTCTCCCTGTGCCCCTCGCCCCCCAGGTGGGCATTGAGCTCGCCCCCAAGTCGTACGACTTCAACTCTCCCACGCCCTTAAAAGCTCACGAGCTTAGGGACGTTTTAAAAGCCCTCCCCTCTGCCTCTCCCTCTCCCCATCTCCCCCCAGGTGGGCATTGAGCTCGCCCCCAAGTCGTACGACTTCAACTCTCCCACGCCCTTTCAGGCAACGGACATAGTCTCCATGGTTCCTGTTCTCAAGGTCAGCTCCTGTTCTTAGACGCATCTCCTAGCGGCATTGTCCTCTTAATTTTCTCTTGCCCTCTATTCCCTTCATATCCTCTTCTTACACCTCCTAACGGCAAGTGAGGCAGGCTGCATTGTCCCTGCATTTTCTCCCTCTTCATTCCCTCATGCCCTCCATTCTCTCATGCCCTCCATTCTCTCATGCCCTCCCTTTCCTTTGTGCCTTTCTTTTCCGATGCCCGCACACTGCATCAGCCCCTGAATCGTCCCAACCCTCCCCCAACTCTCCCTGAACCCGTCATCAAACTCTTCCCTCAACCATCTCTTCATTGCAGCACGTGCTGTGCACGTCAGCTGATGGCCGGGCCGCACACACTGTTAGGCACCCAGCTTTCCTCATTTCCCTTGTCGTTCTCCTCTGAATCGCCAAACCCTCCCAAAACCCTCCCCCAACCCTCTTTTAACTGCAGCACGTGCTGTGCACGTCAGCTGATGGCCGCACACTGCTCGAGGCGTCCAAGGCAGCACTCGACAAGGGCAAGCTGGACGAAGCGGTGTCATGCGGTACCAAGGTATGAGCAATCGGTTGAAAGTGGGTGAAAGGGGTGACAGGTGGCTGGAAGGGGTACAGGATGGGGAGTGACTGCTTGAGGCGTCCAAGGCAGCTCTCGACAAGGGTAAGCTGGACGAAGCGGTGTCGTGCGGTACCAAGGTATGAGCAATCGGTACAAGGAGGGAGAAAGGGGTGGCAGGTGGCTAGGGGTTAGAGATGGGGCGCAATGGGAGTGGCTGCTTGAGGCGTCCAAGGGGGGGTGAAAGGGAAAGTTGATCTCTCTTTTGCCCTCTCTCTTCCTCTCTCTGCCTTCCCTCCTGCTCTTCCTCCTGCTCTCCCTCCCTTACACACAACTTGCAGGCCCTAGTGAAGCTGATAGCGGTGTGTGGGGCGTACCACCGCATGACAGCAGGGGCGTACAGCCTACTGGCCGTGGTGCTGTATCACACAGGGGACTTCAATCAGGCCACCATCTACCAGCAGCGCGCCCTCGACATCAACGAGAGGGAGCTGGGGCTGGACCACCCTTTTACCCACCTCTGGCCCTCCCTCCCGCCCTCCCTCCCTCCTGCCTGCCCTCCTTTCTCCCCTCGCCCGTCTGATGTAGGCCCTAACGAAGCTAATCGCAGTATGTGGGGCATACCACCGCATGACAGCAGGGGCGTACAGTCTTCTAGCGGTCGTGCTGTATCACACCGGGGACTTCAACCAGGCCACCATCTACCAGCAGCGCGCCCTCGATATCAATGAGCGGGAGCTGGGGCTGGATCATCCGGACACCATGAAGAGCTACGGCGACCTGGCTGTGTTCTACTACAGATTGCAGCACACGGAACTGGCCATCAGGTGGGTGTGCTGTGCTGTGCACAGAGTGCATGAATATGATGCATGTATGTGCTCTGAGCTCGGGTACAGCAGTCACAGATGGAGCTAGGGCTCAACCACCCCGACACCATGAAGAGCTATGGCGACCTGGCAGTATTCTACTATCGATTGCAGCATACGGAAGTGGCTATAAGGTGGGTGCCTTGCAGCACACGGGGCTGCTTTTGAGGTGGGTGGCTGCAGTGGAGAGGGTGAGGTGGGTGTGTGCAGTGGAGAGGGTGAGGTGGGTGTGTGCAGTGGAGAGGGTGAGGTGGGTGTGTGCAGTGGAGAGGATGAGGTGGGTGTGTGCAGTGGAGAGGATGAGGTGGGTGTGTGCAGTGGAGAGGGTGAGGTGGGTGTGTGCAGTGGAGAGGGTGAGGTGGGTGTGTGCAGTGGAGAGGGTGAGGTGGGTGTGTGCAGTGGAGAGGATGAGGTGGGTGTGTGCAGTGGAGAGGGTGAGGTGGGTGTGTGCAGTGGAGAGGGTGAGGTGGGTGTGTGCAGTGGAGTGGGTGAGGTGGGTGTGTGCAGTGGAGAGGATGAGGTGGTTGTGTGCAGTGGAGAGGATGAGGTGGGTGTGTGCAGTGGAGTGGGTGAGGTGGGTGTGTGCAGTGGAGAGGATGAGGTGGGTGTGTGCAGTGGAGAGGATGAGGTGGGTGTGTGCAGTGGAGAGGGTGAGGTGGGTGTGTGCAGTGGAGAGGATGAGGTGGGTGTGTGCAGTGGAAAGGATGAGGTGGGTGTGTGCAGTGGAGAGGGTGAGGTGGGTGTGTGCAGTGGAGAGGGTGAGGTGGGTGTGTGCAGTGGAGAGGGTGAGGTGGGTGTGTGCAGTGGAGAGGATGAGGTGGGTGTGTGCAGTGGAGAGGATGAGGTGGGTGTGTGCAGTGGAGAGGATGAGGTGGGTGTGTGCAGTGGAGAGGGTGAGGTGGGTGTGTGCAGTGGAGAGGGTGAGGTGGGTGTGTGCAGTGGAGAGGATGAGGTGGGTGTGTGCAGTGGAGAGGGTGAGGTGGGTGTGTGCAGTGGAGAGGGTGAGGTGGGTGTGTGCAGTGGAGAGGGTGAGGTGGGTGTGTGCAGTGGAGAGGGTGAGGTGGGTGTGTGCAGTGGAGAGGGTGAGGTGGGTGTGTGCAGTGGAGAGGGTGAGGTGGGTGTGTGCAGTGGAGAGGATGAGGTGGGTGTGTGCAGTGGAGAGGATGAGGTGGGTGTGTGCAGTGGAGAGGGTGAGGTGGGTGTGTGCAGTGGAGAGGGTGAGGTGGGTGTGTGCAGTGGAGAGGGTGAGGTGGGTGTGTGCAGTGGAGAGGATGAGGTGGGTGTGTGCAGTGGAGTGGGTGAGGTGGGTGTGTGCAGTGGAGAGGATGAGGTGGTTGTGTGCAGTGGAGAGGATGAGGTGGGTGTGTGCAGTGGAGTGGGTGAGGTGGGTGTGTGCAGTGGAGAGGGTGAGGTGGGTGTGTGCAGTGGAGAGGATGAGGTGGGTGTGTGCAGTGGAGAGGGTGAGGTGGGTGTGTGCAGTGGAGAGGGTGAGGTGGGTGTGTGCAGTGGAGAGGATGAGGTGGGTGTGTGCAGTGGAGAGGGTGAGGTGGGTGTGTGCAGTGGAGAGGGTGAGGTGGGTGTGTGCAGTGGAGAGGGTGAGGTGGGTGTGTGCAGTGGAGAGGGTGAGGTGGGTGTGTGCAGTGGAGAGGGTGAGGTGGGTGTGTGCAGTGGAGAGGGTGAGGTGGGTGGCTGCAGCACACTCAGCTGGCCGTAAGTTGGGTGCCTTACCTCCTCCCTCCTTCTTTCCTCCCTCCTCCCTCCTCCCTCCTTCCTCCTCCCTCCTCCCCTTCACCCCTTTCCCCCTCCCCCCCCCAGGTACGTGCAGAGGGCGCTGTATCTGCTGCACCTGACGAGCGGGTCAGAGCACCCCAACAGCGCGGCCACATACATCAACCTCGCCATGATGCTGCACGGCCTCTCCCACCTCCCCCTCGCCCTGCGCTACCTCCACCGCGCGCTGCAATGCAACCACCGCCTCCTCGGCCCCGACCACATCCAGACGGCCGCCAGCTACCACGCCATTGCGATTGCGCTCTCTCTCATGGACGCGTATGCGCTCTCCGTGCAGCACGAGCAGACCACGCTCAACATTCTCCAGGCGAAACTGGGCCCTGACGATCTCAGGACTCTGGTGAGTGAGTTGGCGGCTCCTTTGTCCTCCAACTAGAAACTTGTGCCCTGGTTGAGAGGCGCTGGCACGGGGACCAACTCACCAGAGACCAGCACGAGCAGACCACGCACAACATCCTGCAGGCGAAACTGGGCCCAGATGACTTGAGAACCCTGGTGAGTTGGTCCTTCTATCTACCCCCCCTCCCTCCTTCCCTCGCTCCCTGTTCAAGAGCGCAAACGGGCCAAGTCTGCTCTGATTTGAGAGAGGCGCCGGGAAATATGAAACTGCAGAATATGTGCACGCTCTTTTGTGCACGCTCTTTTGTGCACGCCCTCTCAGAAGCACGTTTGTAGCCCCTGTCCATTCTGCCTTTGTCCCTTCTTCCCCACCCAGCAGGACGCAGCTGCTTGGAAAGAAAAAAGCACTTTTGAAAGCATGACAGGGCAAGGGTCCACTTCTCAAGTGGTCCTTTTTCTTCTGTCTCGCCCTCACGTCTCTTGTTCTCTCTAACAAATACCTCCCGCCCCTTACCCCCCACCCCTCCCCAGGAGGCGGGGGCGTGGCTGGAGTATTCTGAGAGCAAGGCAGCAAGGGTGAGCCTCAACTTACGTGCTCTCTCACCTCTCTCTCTCGCCTTCCTCCCTCCCCTTCTCTCAGGACGCGGCGGCATGGCTGGAGTACTTTGAGATCAAGGCAGCAAGGGTCAGCCTCATCTCACACTCCTTCCCACTCTCACTCTCACCCTCCCTCCCCCTCTCCCAGGACGCGGCGGCGTGGCTGTAGTACTTTGAGAGCAAGGCAGCGCAGCAGCCTCATCTCTCAAAAACCCCTCACTCTCTCTCTCACCCTCTCTCTCACCCTCTCTCTATAATCCCCCCCTTCCCCTCCCCCTCTCCCAGGACGCGGCGGCATGGCTGGAGTACTTTGAGATCAAGGCAGCAAGGGTCAGCCTCATCTCACACTCCTTCCCACTCTCACTCTCACCCTCCCTCCCCCTCTCCCAGGACGCGGCGGCGTGGCTGTAGTACTTTGAGAGCAAGGCAGCGCAGCAGCCTCATCTCTCAAAAACCCCTCACTCTCTCTCTCACCCTCTCTCTCACCCTCTCTCTATAATCCCCCCCTTCCCCTCCCCCTCTCCCAGGACGCGGCGGCATGGCTGGAGTACTTTGAGAGCAAGGCAGCAAGGGTCAGCCTCATCTCTCAATAACCTCTCCCTCTCTCACACCACACCTTTCTCTCCTCCCCCTCTCCCAGGACGCTGCGGCATGGCTGGAGTACTTTGAGAGCAAGGCAGCGGAGCAGCAGGAGGCAGCCCGCACAGGCACGCCCAAGCCAGACGCCACCATCGCGTCTAAAGGGCACCTCAGGTGAGAGAGCTGTTGTGAGAGAGCTCATGTGAGAGAGCTCATGTGAAAGAGCTCATGTGAACCACGTGCGCATAAGAGCAAGAGTCCCTACTTTCCCTCTCCTCCCCTCTCACCTCTCGTCCCCCCTCTCTCTTCCCCTTTCATCTCCTCCCCATCACCCTCTAGCGTGTCTGACCTGACCTGACCTGCTCTCGTTCATCAACGATGAGGGGCCGCAGCAATTGCCTGTCCTTCGTTTCTACTCAGTCGCCCCTCTCTTCTCCTCTCCTCTTTCTTTCTATTCTCTCCCCCCCCCATCCCCGCCCCGCGTGTCTGACCTGCCCTCGTTCATCAACGATGAGGAGCAGGGGAGGCCGTCTGACCCGACTTTTGTATTTCATCGTTCCTCCTCTCTTTCCCTACCCTCCACCTCCCCATCACTCCCCAGTGTGTCTGACCTGCTGTCATTCATCAGCGACAAGGAGCAGGGGCAGCTGACTGGTCTTCTTTCTGTCTCAATCGTCCCGCTCTTCACCTTTCCTTTCTCTTTCTCTTCGCTTCTCTCCCCCCCATCCCCGCCCAGCGTGTCGGACCTGCTCTCGTTCATCAACGATGAGGAGCAGGGGATGCCGCCTGGTCTTCTTCTCTACTCAATCGTCCCCCTCTTCTACTCTCCTCTCTCTGTCTCTTCCCCCTCCATCACCACCCAGTGTGTCGGACCTTCTCTCGTTCATCAACGACGAGGAGCAGGGGCGGAGGGAGGTGATTCAGGAGATCATGCGCAAGAGGGGCCGTCGCCCCTTGCTCAAGGTACGAGGCACTGACGCCCCTTGCTCATCAAGGTACGAGGCACTGACGCCCCTTGCTCATCAAGGTACGAGGCCTTGACGCCCCTTGCTCATCAAGGTACGAGGCACTGACGCCCCTTGCTCATCAAGGTACGAGGCACTGACGCCCCTTGCTCATTAAGGTACGAGGCACTGACGCCCCTTGCTCATCAAGGTACGAGGCACTGACGCCCCTTGCTCATCAAGGTACGAGGCACTGACGCCCCTTGCTCAAGGTACGAGGCACTGACGCCCGTTGCTTAAAGTAAACTTGTCATGCCTTATCGTTTTTTTAATCATCGGAAAGCAACATGTATGTGTAACGTATGATGCTGTGATGTCCCCCCCACTGCCTCCCATGGTCCCCTCACATCCTGATCTCCCTCCTCGTCCCTGTTTGTCCCCCTCCTCCCCCTCCTTCCCCCACTCTTCCCCCTCCCCCTTACCCCTCTGCCGCTGCTCATTCTCCGATTCATCCCCTCCCCCTGTCCCCCCTCCCACCTCTCATTCTTTCCTTCAGCCTAAGCGTGCTGGCCTCTTAGAAGCAGCGCCACACAGCACAGCCACCGGTGGAGAAGAAACAGCAGAGAAAACCAGCTCAGGTCTAATTAAGGCTTCTGCTCGCGAAGTTGCTGCTACTGAAGGTGCTAATAACGAGGCTACTGACAGTGTCACTGTTCCCACAGCAGCGGAAGCAGGGGTAGCTCCAGCACAAGCAGACACGGTGGGGTCAAGTCCACTTTCCAATGGTGAACCAGCAGAAGAAGCTGCTGCTGCTGCTGTTGCTGCTGTTGCTGCCCACGCTCCTTCGTTTGCTGCTGCTGCCGCTGCGGCTGCTTCCGCACCCGCTTCTGCTTCTGCTACTCCACCCTCAGGCGTACCTGCTCCTGCTGCTGGGGCTGCAGGGGCTGCAGCAACCGCAGCTGCTGCCGCTGCAGCCACTGCAGCCGTATCTGGTGCCGTGGCAGAGGAGGATGACTCTGACGGATGGCAGACAGCTTGCAGCGGCGCTCACAGGCACAGCCACCAGCGCAAGATAGCAGCTGGTGCTACTGGAGCAGCAGGCGCAGGAGCAGGAGGGATGGGCGTTGGGGGGGTTAAGGCAGCTAGTAGGGGTGTGGTAAGGGGAGGGGATGCTAGGGGCAAACGGGTTGGTCCAAAGCAGCTAGTGCAAGCAGCAGCAACAGCGGCAGCAGGAGGAGCAACAGCAGCAGCAGTAGGAGGGGGAGGGAGCGTGGCAGGGGAGGGTAGCAGGCAGAAGGTAGGCCCTGGCATTTCGCCGGTCACTCCTGCCCCTGGAGCTGCTCCTTACCATGCTGCAGCTGTTGCCAACGTTGCTGAGGCGATCCCTGCTGCTGCAGCTGCTGCTGCTGCTAGTACTGCAACTGCTGGCAGTGGTGCTGCAGCTGGGAATGTGAACGCCACATCCCTTGCCCCAGCAGGGACTTTACGGGAGGGTGAGAGGAAGAGTGCATGGGGACTGAGCTCTGGTTCCAAAGCAGCTGTTGTGGCTGCGACTGTTGCTACAGCTACTGCTGCCACTCCTACTGCTGCTACTTCTGCGTCTCTTGCTGCTGCCGCCCCTACTGCCTCTGCTGTTGCTGGCCCAGGCGCTTCTGCTGTTCCTGCCGTTTCTCCTGCCTCTGCTCCTGCTGTGACTGCCCCTTCTGTGACTCCAGCCACTCCTGCTGCCACTCCGACTGCTGCTCCTCCTGCTCCAGCTCATGTCTCTGCCACTCCTGCTGCCGCCCCTCCTGCTGCAGCTCCTCCTACCACTGCCTCTACTGGAGCCACTGTTCCTTCTGCAGCCAGAGCACTCACTGTAGCTTCTAAACCTTCTACAGCTGCTACAGATGCCGCACCTGCTACAGCTGCTGCGGCTGCTGCAGATGCCTCGTCTGCTACAGCTGCTACAGCCATTGCAGCTGCTACAGCCACTGCTGCCCCTGCAGTTCCCAAGAGGGCCCCTGTCCCGCCACCAGGGCCCATGACCCGCTCCTGGAAGGAGATCGCTCTGCTGCCACCTGGCAAAACGGCATTGGCTGCTGCACCAGTGGTGCCAGAATCTGGGGCTGGGGTTCCGATGACAGCTGAGAATGTCCCTGCCGCTGCGACCACTGCAGGGGGCACAAGCAGTGGCAGCCCAGCAACAGCTGCAGCAGCCACAGGCAGCACGGGGGCAGCCTCTAGCATGAAATCCGGTGGTGCTTCGAGCTCCGCTGTAGCTACTAACACTTGTAGCACTGCTGTCGCGGCCAACGCTACGAACACTGCTGTCGCGGCCAGCGCTACGAGCACTGCTGTCGCCACCGGCAGCGGCGACAAGACCGCAGAAACCACAGGGGAGAGGCAGCAGCAGGCAGAGCAGGTGGGAGGAGGGACGGAAGGTGAAGCTGAAAAGGGCAGTGATGTGGCGGATGGGAAGAAGCGAGTGGGAGCGGAAAAGACAGTGTCAGTGGTGGTAGCAAACGCGGCTGCTACTGCTGCTGCCGCGTTGACTTTTGAGTCGACTCAAACGTCAGCTGGGAAGAAGCGAGTGGGAGAGGAAAAGACAGTGTCAGTGGTGGTAGCAAAGGCGGCGGCTGTTACTGCTGCCGCGACTTCTGCTCCTGCGGCTGCTCCTAGTGCTCCTGCCGCTGATTCCGATGTTGCAGCCTCAGGTGGAAAAGCGCCTGATCCCAGCCCTCCCAGCACCAACACCAACACCACCACCAGCCTCAGCAGCAGTGACAGCAGAGGCACTCCAGCTGAACTTGTGCTGCCCCTTTCAGCTCACAGTCCCTCCAAGCTCTCCCCCTTGGCTTCTCCTTTCCAACCCGCTGCCGCACCCATTGCCTCTTCTGTGCCCATCGCCTCTACCTCAACCAGTGCTGCTGTAATTCCCACTGGCTCCCTTGCACATATTCATGAGAGCTCCTCCGCTCCCCCACCTCCCTCAACCGAACTCAACTCGATTGCACCTGCCACTGGCAGTAATGAACCGGGTAATAGTGAGGCTGCTTCTCCTCCCGCTTCTGCAGTTAACCCTGCAGCAGCTGTTGCAGCAGCACCAGCAGAATCGCCAGCAGGATCAGCGGAACCAATAGCAGAGTCTGTGGCAGCAGCGCCTGTAGCAGGAGAGGATTTAGCAGCGCCTGTAGCAGCAGCGCCAGTGGCAGCTGGACCGCTGCTACAGCCGTTGATTCCAGTCCCTATGCATCCAATGATGGTCCCTCCGCATGGATACATGGCACCACCAGGGCACTACCCCATGCCATACCCTCATCATCCGTACTACTATCACCCACAAGCCCTCCCACACACTCACACACACGCCCACTCGTACCAACTGCAGCAGCAGCAGCAGCAGCCGCAGCCGCAAGACCAGCAGCAGTATAGCCAGCAGCAGCAGCAGCAGCAGCGCTACAGCCACCGCTACAACCGCCCGGTATTCATCCCGCCCAGGTTCCTGCGCAATGCCGCCGCTACAGCCGCTGCTACAGCCGCCGCCACCGCTGCAGCTGCTGCTGCAGGTGCCGGTACTGTCATGGGAGGTGCTGGTAACGCTGCTGCTTCCCATCCTTACATGGGCTCCCCTGCATTCTTCCCTGCACCATCTAGCATGCCTGCTATGCCTGTATACATGCCTGTGCACATGCCACAGGGAGTGTCTGTGCCTCTGGGTGGGCCAGTACCTGTGGGCGGCTCTCTGCCTCTCCCCAACGCTCCGCCCATGTTGACTTTTGAGTTGACTCAAAAGTCAACTCTGGGTGGGCCAGTACCTGTGGGCGGCTCTCTGCCTCTCCCCAACGCTCCGCCCATGCCTATAGTTTCCGCCATTGCTGATGCATCTGCCGCTCCTGCTGCTCCAGTACCAGCCGTTTCTGATGCCAAGCTGATGCTTTCTGGGGACGATTTCCCTCCTCTGCCCTCTTCTGCTGCTGCTGCTCCTGCTCCTGCTCCTGCTCCTGCTCCTGCTCCTGCTCCTGCTCCTGCTCCTGCTCCTGCTCCTGCTCCTGCTCCTGCTCCTGCTCCTGCTCCTGCTGGTGCTGGTGCTGGTGCTGTTGCAGCGAGTGATGTATCTGGCAGGGCTTCCAATACTGACCCTCCTGCTGTGGCTGATCATAGTGACGCCTCAGCAGATTCTGCAGCACCAGAGGCTGTAACTGCACCTGACGCACCTGAGGCTGTAACTGCACCTGAGGCACCTGAGGCTGTAACTGCACCTGAGGCACCTGAGGCTGTAACTGCACCTGAGGCAGCACCTGAGGCTGTAAATACACCTGAGGCACAGGTTCTAACTGCACCTGAGGAAGCACCTGAGGTTGTGGCAACGCCCGAGGCAGCACCTGAAGCTGCAATTGCACCTGAGACAGCACCTGCGGTTGTAGCAGCGCCTGAGCCTGAGGAATCAGTTGCACCTGAAGCTGAAGCTGTAGCAGTGCCTGTGGATGTAGCAGCACCTGAAGCTGTAGAAGCACGTGAAGCTGTAGCAGCACCTGAAGCTGTGGCAGCACCTGAAGCTGTGGCAGCACCTGAAGCTGTAGCAGCACCTGAAGCTGTGGCAGCACCTGAAGCTGTAGCAGCACCGGCAGCTGTAGCAGCACCTGAAGCTGTAGCAGCACCTAAAGCTGTAGCAGCACCTAAAGCTGTAGCAGCACCTAAAGCTGTAGCAGCACCTGCTGGAGAGGGCTTGAGTGCACATGCCTCGCCATACCACCCCACTGCCCCACCACCCCCACTCACCCCACCATCCGCTCCCACCACCATCACACCATCCACTCCCGCTGCTATAGTCCCCACACCCCCTGCTGCTACAGCCCCCACAACCTCTGGTGCTACAGCCGCCACACCCCAAGCCGCCACAGCCCCCACACCCCCTGCTCCAGCTCTTAAGCCAATGAATCCTCATGCTCTTGAGTTCGTTCCTGGAAAGAACTGGGGTGCTCTTGGGCCTGCTGCTGCAGCAACCCATCCTGCAAGCTCGCAATCGGGAGTGACAGCAGGAACAGCGGCGGCGGCCAAAGCAGCAGGAGGAACGGGAGGACCAAAGGTGGTGGGGTGGAGAGCGGTGCTTAGTGGTGGTGTAGGTCCTGGTAGCGAGGCGGCTGGGGAGGGGACTGCTGGTGGTGCTGCTGGTGGAGCTGCTGGGAAGGTAGGAAGTGGGGAGAAGGCAAAGACACATAGCAAGAGAGGGAAACAGAGCAAGGGGGGAAAGCACGAGCAGCAGTGGGAGCGCAAGGGAAAGAGCGAGCAAGTGGGGGCGCAGGGTAAGGAGGAGAAGGGGAATGGAAACGAGGAGTTAGCACCGGGGAAGGAGAATGGGATTGTGCTACAAAGGGATGTGACAAGAGATGGCGAGAGGGAGGATAGCAAGCAGGGTAACGTTAATGAGAAGGTAAGGGAGAGTGAGGAGGGTAGCAAGGATGAGGAGAAGGGTAACGTTAATGAGGAGAAGGCAAGGGAGAGTGAGGAGGAGGTGATTGAGATTGTGAAGGTGTGTGTTTCCGAGACTGTGGTGTCTGGGGATGGTGGTTGTGACCCTCCCCAGCCCTGTGAGAAAGAGAGGGGTGCAGAGGAAGGGAAAGGGGTTGAAAACGATAAGGTAGAGAAGGAACTTGAGGAGGAGACAGAGGACCAGGAGGATGGTCAGGTGATTTCAATGCTCTCTCTGAGCGATTCTGGGAGTGATCCGGAGAGCGAGGAGGTGAAAGGGGGAGAGAAGAGTCACGTGGATGAAGAGAATGGAGGGAGTAAGACGATGGAGGGGAAGGGAGGGAAGGTTGAGCAGGCGAAGGGGAGGCAGGAGGCAGGGAAACCTGGCATGAAAGTGTCAATGTCCTGGGCAGATATGGCTGATGTCATGGATGAGGAGGATAGGGCAGAGACGACCGAGAGAAAGGGAGGGGAGGTTCAGCAGGCGAAGGGACAGCAGGCGGGGAAACCTGGGCTGAAAATGTCAATGTCTTGGGCAGATATGGCTGATTTGATGGATGAAGAGGATAGGGCGGAGGCTGCAGCTGATGCTGCTGCCGTGGATAAGGAGGTGGTGGGGGGAGGCAGAGGAGAGGGCCGGCAGCAGCAGAGCCACCGGCAGCATTCGCAGCATCAGCAGAGGAATCATCGGCAGTGGCAGCAGCAGCAGCAGCAGCAGCAGCATGTGAAGCACGGAGCAAACAGGGGGAGGGGACAGCCGCAGCAGCACCAGGAGGGACAGTGGCAGCAGCAGCAGGGACAGCGGCAGCAGCAGGGGCAGCGGCAGCAGCAGGGGCAGCAGCAGCAGCAGCAGCAGCAGCAGCAGGGGCACCAGCAGGAGCAGAAGGGGCAGCATGAGGGGCAGCAATTGCATGGGCAGAAGGCAGGGCCGGAGCAGGACGGGCAGAGGGCCGCAGTGAGAAGGCGAGGGGCCTCTGTCCCTCGAACCACTTGGGCCCCGAAATTGGTGCAGCAGTCCCAGCAGCCACCTGTGAAGCCTGATCATGATCTAGCTGACGGAAACGCAACAATTTCAGGTGTTTCTGGTACTTCAGGTGTTTCAGGTGCTTCAGGTGTTTCAGGGGGCTCAGGTGGTTCTGATGGTGTGGGAATATTGGGAAATGGAGAGGCACACGCAGCAGCTGTGGCTGCACAGGGGAGGGGCCTACAGGGGACTGATGGCGTTAGTGGTGGGAGGCAGGCAAGAGAGGGGAGGCGGCGTGGTGGAAGGGGTGGGGGGAGAGCGCAGGGAAGGGGCCATGGGGCGATGGAGGGAGGGGGGGAGCATGGGGGGGAGCATGGGGCAGCAGAGAGGCACATGAACGGGGGACCTGCTGTTGGTTTCGAGGGGGGAGCGCAAGGAGGGGGAGGGGGACGGGAAGGAGAAGGGAAGGGTGTAGAGAAGGGGGAAGGAAGAGGGGAAGAGAAAGTGGAGGGGACAGGGGAGGGGGAGGATGGTTTCACTGTGGTGACGCCTAGGAGGAAGAAGCCTCCTCGCAGTGCAGGCCACGGACGACAGGTAGGTGTTTGAGAAGGTGCAATGCGGTGCTCTGAGGTGCTGTGAGACGGTGTGAGGTGGGACATGGTGCTGTGAGATGGCGTGGGGTGCTGCGTGGTGCTGTGAGAGGCTGTGCATTGGAATGCGATGCTACAAGGTGCTAAGTGCTGCTGGTTCCCAATGCTGTGTGAGGGGCAATGCAGCGTGCTTTGGTTTATCACAGGCCTTGGAAACTACACAGATGCCCAGCCGCTTTTATTCCTGCGCCTGACTCTCTGTCTCTCTTTTGTGTCGACCTCTTATGCTTCTCATTTCCTCTTCTCCATCCCTTCTTCTTTCATGCAACAGGGGCCACACAGGCAGAACCAGCACCAGCACCAGCACCAGCACCCGCAGCGGCCGCACCAGCAGCATCAGAATGGTGGGAACGGCACAGCTGATGGTAGCATACCACCAGGGAGCATGGCAAATGGCAACGGCAATGGCAATGGGAGTTTCAACAGCCATGGCAGCCCTGACAGCAGCAGCGAGAGCAGCAAGCACCCTCATCCAAACCCCCATCCCAACCCCCACCACCATCATCAGCATCACCGCAAGCGCAATCACCAGCGCCGGGGGGGTAAGGCAGCAGGAGAAGCAGGAGGGGAGGGGGGGGCAGCAGGTGCAGGAGGGAGGGGAGGAGCAGGGCAGGCAGCAGCAGGTGCAGCCACCGCCACAGCTTCAGCTACTGCTACAGCAGCGGCACCAAGAGGAGCAGCAGCATCTGCACCAGTCCCTGCCGCCGCGTGAAGCTTGCAGCAACCACCACGAATAATGTGTGGGAGATGGAAGTAGTTTTTTCTCCTATCTAATGGTTTTTTTTTTTCATTCCTAGAAATGCTTGTCTCAGGTACCCTTCTCTTTGATTTCGTTGCTTGTTTGTCCAGCTTTGTCCCACCTAGTTGATCTTTCTTCTGTTCACTGCCAGCCCATGTATCCTTCTTCACACGTACGGTAAATACTCATGTGAAAGCAAAAAAAGTGATGTCAAAACCACATGTGTGTGGTGTAAGAGAACTGGCGCCTTGCACTGTTTGAGCAATGCATAGAGGCGTTATCCAGCTACTGTGGTCTATCTTTTAGGCGCCTCAAATGTGCCTCCCGAGTCCCATGATCTGAGCCATGCACAGTGTCAAATTATATGTATGCTATACATGTTTAGGCTGTAGTGGGGTAGCAATATGGGGTACAGCCCCTTTTAGGGTTTCATACTTGTACCCAACACTTTCCTAGTGCATTCATTCCTGCCTAGCATTTCTGACATGGTATAGAGCAGTAGGTCCGTAGGACCGTCTTACTTTGGGCCCACCTACCGTTGCGGTTACCACGCTGCCCCACCTACCGTGCCTGCCTTGCCTGCGCTGCGCCTCACGCGCGCGCCCTGCCTTGCCTGCGCTGCGCTGCCCGTGCGCGCTGCCTTTTTTTTCCCGCGCGCGCCACTCTAGCAGCCCGCGCAGCCCGCTGCTGCCCCGCACGCCGCGTCCGTTGCCCGCGCAGCCCGCTGCTGCCCCGCGCGCCGCGTCCGCCGCCCGCGCGCAGCCCGCTGCTGCCCTGTGCGTCGCCTCCGCCGGTCGCGCAGCCCGCTGCTGCCCCGCGCGCTGCTTTAGGAGCCTGCGCGCGGCCCGCTGCTGCCCCGCGCGCCGCCTTAGGAGCCCGCGCGCGGCCTGCTGCTGCCCCGCGCGCCGCCCTAGCCACTTGCGCGCCGCCCCAGCAGCTTGTGCACCGCCACTGCAGCCTTGCGCGCAGCTCCTCCTGGCCTGCACTCTGCTTTGCCGCCTGTGCGCTACTCTTGCCTGCGCTGCACTCATGGCGACTCTCAATGTCCTAGCTTTCGATCCTGACGGTCGCCCGATAGAGTTTGCCACTTGGCTTGACGACCTGCAACTGTTCCTTCTGACTGATGCCAAAGACGGAGTCTCACTGTTCGATTACGTGACTGGCACTTCCGTTGCTCCTGCTGACACTGCTACCGCTCTTGACCGCTCACAGTGGCAGACTCGCGATGCTGCTGCGCGCCTCGCTATTCGCAACCATCTGCCGATCACTGAGCGCGCGCACTTTAGTCAGCACAAGACTGCTAAGGCACTGTATGAGGCTGTAGTTTCCCGCTACTCTTCCCCGGCCACTGCAGCCATAGGTCGCCTTATGCTACCCTACCTGTTCCCCGACCTGTCCTCGTTTACCACTGCTGAGGACCTCATCTCTCACCTGCGCTCTAGCGACGCTCGCTTTCGTTCTACCCTCTCAGACGAGTTCCTCGCCCAGAATCACCCCCCGATGTACTTTACTCTCTACTTCCTCGTCACCCGCCTCCCTGACACTCTTCGCTCAGTCAGGGACCACTTTCTCGCGCTAGACCCTACCACTCTCACTGTCGACGACCTCGAGACGCACCTCCTAGCAGCCGAAAAGAACATTCTTGCTGTAGGTGCTGCTCGTGGCACTCCTCGCTCTCCCCTCTTTGAGGGGTGCTCCCCCTCCCCTCTTGCCCCCTCCTACGCCTCTGCTGCTGCTGCTCTCGACTACCTTGGTGCTGAGGAGGTCGGGGCTGCTTCCGCTCCCAGTGGGAAGCGTCGCGGCGCCAGAGGCGGCAAGGGTGGCAGGGGAGGAGGGGGTGGCGGTGGAGGGGGTGGCGGTGGAGGCGGCGGGGGAGGTGGAGGTGGTGGGGGTGGTCGTGGGGGTGGAGGTAGTTGTGGGGGCGGCGGTGGCACTGGGAGCGGTAGAGGTGGCAGCGGCGGCAGTGGGGGAGGAGGGAGCGGTGGTGGCAGCGGTGGTGGGGGCTGGAGTGGATCCGGCCAGAAGGGGAGCTCTAGTGGTGGCCAGGGACAGCAGCAGCAGCAGCAGCAGCAGCAGCAGCCGCAGCGGCAGCAGCAGCAGCGCCAGCAGCAGACCCCCTCCCCTCAGCAGCTTCTCGACTGGTATGCTCAGCGTGGGGCGTCTGGGGGTCCTGTTCGCTGCCCCTATATCATTCGCACAGGCCCTCGCACTGGTCGTCCATGCAACGGTTTTCACACTGAGTATCGCTGTTTCTCTCGGCTTAGCGACGCCTGGCGCGCCATGTTTCCTGAGGCTACTGAGTTTCCCCACTGGGCAGACATGTCTAGGCGTGGTGTTCCTATCTTTGATCTTGACTATGATGCAATTCTTGCTGCCATGTATGCATTGACTGTTAGTGCTGAGGGTGACTGCTACTTGTGTGTGCCGCCTGACCCAGGTATAGAGTCCGCAGCCCTAGGTGCTAGTGAGTCTGCTCTCCCTGGTACTGCGTCCGCTCAGGCCTTGCACACCTTTACACTTGAATCCAGTGCTTCCCGCTGTTTCTTTCGCGACAGTACCACAGTCACTCCCCTCCCTGCACCTGTCCCTGTCTCGCTGGCTGACCCCTCTGGGGGCCCCGTGCTAGCACGGTCCTCTACCGTGCTTCCGTGTCCGGCTGTCCCGTCTGGTGAGCTGTCTGGTCTCCACCTCCCCTCGTTCTCTACGAACTTGGTGAGCAACGCCGTCCTTCAGGATCATTGGGTTGACACCTTTACTCCTGGAGGACAGCGTGTGGCGATCTGCACGTGCTCTCGGACAGGCCGCCACCTGGCCACGTTCACATGTGCGCCTGGGTCCAGTCTGTACACCCTCACCACTGCGTCGCGCTACACCCCTTTGTCTCCTCAGCGTCGAGGGGCAGCAGCGCGCTGCTCCTCACTCCTCCTCGTTCCCTCCCACAGAGGCTCCGCTGCAGACTCTCCACCTGGACGTGTGGGGCCCAGCCCGCGTCCGGGGACAGGGCCATGAGCGGTACTTCCTGCTGGTCGTCGACGACTACACGCGTTACACCACGGTCTTCCCCTTGCAGCGCAAGGGGGAGGTCCCTGATGTTTTGATCCCCTGGATCCGCGCTGTTCGTCTCCAGCTCCGCGAGCGGTTCCAGTCGGACTTTCCTGTCCTGCGTCTGCACTCTGACAGGGGTGGTGAGTTCTTCTCCGACCTCTTGCGCGCCTACTGTGAGGAGCACGGCATCCGCCAGACGTTCACGCTTCCGGCCTCTCCCCAGCAGAATGGGATTGCTGAGCGCCGCATTGGCTTAGTCATGGAGGTCGCTCGTACCTCCATGATCCATGCGGCTGCCCCCCATTTTCTGTGGCCGTTTGCGGTTCGGTACGCCGCTCATCAGCTCAACCTCTGGCCCCGTGTCTCCGTTCCGGAGACTTCGCCCACACTGCGTTGGACGGGGGAGGTTGGCGATGCGTCGTGTTTCCGGGTCTGGGGTGCTCGTGCCTTTGTCTACGATACCACTGCGGACAAGCTCTCCCCTCGCGCCATTCCCTGCGTCTTCCTTGGCTTTTGTCCCTGACGCGCCTGGCTGGCAGTTTTACGACCCCGCCTCGCGCCGTGTCTTTGCGTCTCAGGACGTCACCTTTGACGAGTCGGTCCCCTTTTACCGTCTCTTTCCCTACCGCACTGCCTCTCTCCCCCCCCCGCCACTCTTTCTCGCTCCTGGTCCTCCCCATGTAGACCCCCTCCCCACTCCAGGTCCTGCTCCTTCAGGTGTGTCTCAGGTAGACCCTCCTCCCTTGACTGAGCCGGTTGAGGTCACTGGTGACTCAGGTCCTGCTGAGGGTGGTCCTGCTCGGGGTGCTGCTTCTGGGGGTGCTGAGCCTGGGGGTGTGGAGCCTGGGGGTGCTGAGCCTGGGGGTGCGGAGCCTGGGGGTGCTGAGCCTGGGGGTGCGGAGCCTGGGGGTGCTGAGCCTGGGGGTGTGGAGCCTGGAGGTGCTGAGCCTGAGCGTGAGGAGCCTGGGGGTGCTGAGCCTGAGGGTGCGGAGTCTGGGGGTGCTGCGCCTGGGGGTACTGAGTCTGGGGGTACTGCGCCTGGGGGCGCTGAGGCACCTGGTGTGCAGTCTCCTTGGAGCGGCCGCCTCCGTAGTCGCTCCGCTGGTGCCTCGCCGCAGCTATCTCGCCGGCGTCTCCCTCTCTCCCCACAGCAGCTGCGTGTGTGGTACGTTAGCCGTCAGGGTCGCACTGCTGGAGCTGGGGGCCCTGCTGCGGCCGACGCTGGCGTTGGAGGCGCTGGAGCTGGTGACTTAGCTACTGGAGGCGCTTCTGCTGGAGTTACTGGAGCCGCTGGTCCCGGAGGTGCTCGTACTGGAGGTACTGGAGCTGCTGGGGCTGGTGGTTCTGCTGAGTCTGGGGGTTCTGCTGCTGCTGGCGCTAGTACTGGAGGTACTGGCGCTGGAGGTTCTGGAGTTACTGGAGGTCCTGGAGCTGTTGGAGGTACTGGCGCTGGAGGCGCTGGAGTTGGAGGTTCTGGAGCTGCTGGAGGTGCTTGTACTGGAGGTGCTGGCGCTGGAGGATCTGGAGCTACTGGAGGTCCTGGAGCTGTTGGAGGTACTGGCGCTGGAGGCGCTGGAGCTGGAGGTTCTGGAGCTGCTGGAGGTGCTGGTACTGGAGGTGCTGGCGCTGGAGGTTCTGGAGCTACTGGAGGTCCTGGAGCTGTTGGAGGTCCTGGCGCTGGAGGCGCTGTAGCTGGAGGTTCTGGAGCTACTGGAGGTGCTGGTACTGGAAGTGCTGGCGCTGGAGGTGCTGGTGCTGGAGGTACTGGAGCTGCAGGTGCTCGTGGCGCTGTCCAGCCGCGACTGTTCTTCGCTCCGCCGTTGCCCTCGTCTCTTCCACCGCCTGACTCCGTGCTTCGCCAGGTTCTTAGTCTCCCGTCTTCTACTGGTCTTCCGTTACAGCCTAGCTCAACGCTGCCTGCTCCTTCTCCTTACACTGAGCAGGCCGGAGGTCTTACTGAGCGTCGTGAGCCCGCGTCTCGTCCTGTCTCGCCTGTTCGCACTGTCCGCACTGGTCGTACTGGTCGTCGTGTTCCTCGTGAGCGTCCGCCGGCTGTCCCCGGCACACACCTCATGGCCCTGCGTCCTTCCTCTGTTCCGCAGCGTGTTCCCCTGCCGTCCCCTCCTGCGTCTTCTCTGCCTGACGTTCCAGAGCCTGAGTCTGACCGCGCTCGTGCTGCTCACCCTACTGTCACGCGTCTGCTAGCCACTGTTGTCACTGACCCGTCGTTTGAGTCTGCTGCTGCGTCTGCCTTAGTCGCTGAGCTTGTAGACTTTGCTGCTGCCTGTCGTCTCGACTACGCCGCTAGTCTTGTTGCTGAGTCTGAGTCTGTCTGTCCTCCGTCCGCCGGGGGTGAGTGTGCTCTTAGCACGGACGTCCTTGAGGATAGGCAGGAGGACCTTGAGTGCCTTGCAGCCGCTGCACCTCATCTCATGGCCATGCTGCTTGCCCCTGAGGGAGACCCGGATGCTCCAGACATCCCGACCCCGCGCTCTTACGCTGAGGCGATCGCGGGTGAGTACTCCTCTCAGTGGCAGACAGCCATGGACGCAGAGATGGCATCCTGGAAGTCCACAGGCACTTACGTTGACGAGGTTCCCCCTCCTGGGGCGAACATCGTCAGTGGCAAGTGGATTTTCAGGGTGAAGCGGCCGCCGGGTTCTCCGCCTGTCTTCAAGGCTCGTTACGTTGCTCGAGGCTTCAGTCAGCGGGAGGGAGTTGACTTCTTCCAGACCTTCTCCCCCACCCCGAAGATGACCACTCTTCGGGTGCTGCTGCACGTTGCCGCTCAGCGTGACTACGAGCTTCACTCTCTTGACTTCAGCACAGCCTTCTTACATGGCAGCCTGCACAAGGAGATCTGGCTACGCCGCCCACCTGGCTTCACTGGGTCGTTCCCTCCTGGTACCCAGTGGAGCCTCCGGCGGCCAGTCTACGGTCTCCGCCAGGCGCCTCGTGAGTGGCACGACACACTGAGGACGACACTTGCGGCTCTTGGGTTTGCTCCTTCCACTGCTGACCCGTCGCTGTTTCTGCGCACCGACACTTCGCTGCCGCCGTTCTTCATCCTTGTGTACGTCGACGACTTGGTCTTTGCCACTGCTGACACTGAGGCTCTCGCCCTGGTGAAGTCGGAGCTGCAGAAGAGACACACGTGCACAGACCTGGGTGAGCTGCGCAGTTACCTTGGCTTGCAGATCACCCGGGACAGAGCACGCCGCACCATCACACTGACTCAGTTACACATGGTGCAGCAGGTCCTTCAGCGCTTCGGCTTCACCTGGTCCTCGGCACAGGCCACTCCTCTGGCTATAGGTCACTCGCTCTCAGCTCCACCTTCGGACGAGTCCGTAGAGCCGAGTGGTCCTTACCCAGAGCAAGTGGGCTGCCTCATGTACCTGATGACCTGCACTCGTCCTGACCTTGCGTACCCTCTTGGCCTTCTGGCTCGCTACGTGGCTCCTGGTAGGCACCGAAAGGTGCACATGGATGCTGCGAAGAGGGTACTGCGCTACTTGTGCAGTACGTCGGGCATGGGGCCCGTGCTTGGAGGACGGGGCGACGTTGTCCTCACTGGGCACTCGGACGCTTCTTGGGTTGACGACCTGGCTACGCAGCGGTCGTCACAGGGTTACACCTTCAGTCTTGGCTCTGGCTCTGTCTCTTTGCGGTCTACACGCTCGTCTTCTGTTCTCAGCTCCAGTTGTGAGGCTGAGATCTAAGCCACAGCCATGGCTGCACAGGAGTTACGCTGGCTCACCTACCTGCTGACCGACTTGGGAGAGCGGCCTCGTTCTCCTCCATTTCTGTACGTAGACAACAAGGCCGCCATTGCCTTGTGTCAGGAGCACAGACTGGAGCACAGAACGAAGCACATCGCTCTGCGTTATTTCCTTGCTCGAGATTTGCAGTAGCGTGGTCAGCTTCGTCTTGCTCACGTGGCCACTCGGGCCAACACTGCTGATATATTCACCAAGGCACTTCCGTCTGGTGATCATCAGCGTTTTTGTACTTTGTTAGGTCTTGTGCCCACGTTTCCTCACTTGCTGTAGACTTCGCTTGTACTGTGATCTTTATATATACCTGCATGCTTGCTCTGCTAGGTAGAGATCACTGTGCTGTGGTTGTTGCATATATACCTCTGCATGTGAACTGGCCTTGTGGCCCCTTAGCTTGTGCTCAGTGTGTGTGGTGACGTTGTGATCCACCCTGAGCTTGCTTTGCTTCTCTTGACTGGTCTTGTGACCCCTTATTCTCCCCCACTTTGCCTATGGGGGTGTGTCAAATTATATGTATGCTATATATGTTTAGGCTGTAGTGGGGTAGCCAATATGGGGTACAGCCCCTTTTAGGTTTTCATACTTGTACCCAACACTTTCCTAGTGCATTCATTCCTGCCTAGCATTTCTTCACACGTACGGTAAATAGTCATGTGAAAGCAAAAAAAGTGATGTCAAAACCACATGTGTGTGGTGTAAGAGAACTGGCGCCTTGCACTGTTTGAGCAATGCATAGAGGCGTTATCCAGCTACTGTGGTCTATCTTTTAGGCGCCTCAAATGTGCCTCCCGAGTCCCATGATCTGAGCCATGCACAGCAGTGTTATCCAGCTACTGTAGTCCAGCTACGGTTTACTTCTCATAACCACCCTCCTTTCCCGTCCCCCTGTATCACTCCCTTCGATAAACCTCGTTTCCATCCCACGAAATTTTATCTCACCTCTCATTACACTTCACTTCACCCCTCTCCTCTTCCCCTCCCCCTTCGCTCCTCCCCCTCCTCTTCCTTCTCTCTCTACTTCCCCTCCTTCCTCACTTTCCCTCTCCGTCCTCTCCTCCCTCACTCCCTTTACAAAGGCTGGTCTTTGAGCAATGGCAGCGGCAGTACCGTAGCACTGCCCCAATGCAGCAGAAAGAAACCCTGCAGAGCCACAGGGCTCACCTCACCTCTCCCTCCCTTCTCGAAACAGCCCCATAGGATTTACAAATGCATATGTGAACTTTGAGATTCTGACACACAACGAGAGAGTGAATGAACATCTTGAATCAAGTACGGTAATTGTCTCCGTATATCAACTTCTCGCTACACATATACATACATCTGTACATTCGCACACTGAAAAGGGACACTGATAAAACAAGCCAGCTAGCACCACATGTACCACAACTTTTCGGTGGCAACTCAGTGCTATGCTCAAATCATCATATCCAGCTGTATTCGCCATGCAGAGCCTATCTGCCCTGCCCTGCTCACTGTCATCCTCGTCTGTCCCTATCTGTATTCGCCATAAGGGGTGGCGGTCCCCCTGTCGTGGGCCGCCCACTCAACTACCCCACCTACACCGGCTGCCCACGCTCTTCGTCCCCACTTCAGAGTCACACCCTCGCCCTCCACACCTTTTCCCCCAGTCATTCCTTCACTCTAACTGCTCCCTTCATGCTTGACGCTGAGGGGGCTCACACCCCCTGAAGATCATTCTCATGCCCCCTTTCCTTCCGCAATGCTTTGAGACGTCTCAACACTCGTTCTCACTGCTCCCTTTGTGCTTGATGTTGAGGGCTTACACTTTCTGAAAAACACCTCCAGTGCTCCCTCCCCTTCCTCCATGCCTTCCCTTTTGGCCTGCCTCTCTCCTTGCCATTCTTCCCCTCCCCTTCCCTTATGACACTTGTTACACACTGCACTCACTCTCAATCTATATGGTGTCACTCTCCTTTGAATCACTCATCCTCTGCGTCACTCTTCTCTGCATCACTCTCCTCCTTCCCATCACTCTCCTTCCCATCACTCTCCTCGGTATCATCTCCACTCCCTTCAGATTTCCTCCCTTCGCTATTATCACACTCCACTTCAATCTCACCCTCCTCCCCTACTGCGTCACTCTCTTCAATCACAATCTCTTCCACCCCACTGTCTTTCCTCTCACCTCTCTTCCCTTTCCCCCTTCCCCTCTTCCCCTTTCCCTTCCCCTCCTCCTTCCCCTCCTTCTTCCCCTCCTCCCTCTTCTTCTCCTCCTCCTTCCTCTCCCTCTCCCTCCTCTCCTCCCTCACTCCCTCCACAAAAACCGGCCCATGGGTCATAGCAGCATCAGCGCTACCCCGGTGCAGCAGAAAGAACCCCTGGAGAGCCGCCGGGCTCACCTCTCCCTCCTCAAACAGCCCAGCAAATTTCTCCGCCTCTCCCTCAGAAGCTTCCGAGAAGAATCGCAGGAACAGACGGACGATCTGGCTGCGGCTCGCGAGGCCAAGAAACATCCGAAAGTCGACCCGCCCGGGCCGGATCAGCGCAGGATCCAATCTCTCGATATGATTCGTCGTCATGATCACAATCTGCTTCTCCCGGGCGGCGATGCCGTCGATCGCGTTCAGCAGGCCAGAAAACGACAGCCCGTTTGCCTGGCTCCCTTCTTTCTTCTCCCTAGTGGCTGTAAAGGCTGCATCTATATCCTCCAGTACAATCACGTCCCGCTCGTCACAGTCACACATGGCACTGTTCAGAGCATCATCGCTCATACCAGAAGACGACAGGCTGATAATCGCAACTCCAAACTCCAGCTCCCCTGCTAGGGCTTGGATCAAAGACGTCTTGCCGCAACCTGGCGGCCCGTGGAATAAATACCCCCGTCGGTGGGGGATACCCCGGTCTGTATACCACTTTGCACTCTCTAAGAACTGCTTCACGTCTTCGATAAGAGCGCCTGTATCGCAGTCCAGAACCACAGTCGACACCGGCCGGCTCGCCCGCTCCCCCAGGTACTTCCAGTAATTCTCATCCGCGCTCCACCGCTTCACAGAAGTCATTTTCTTCTCGGTTTTCTTCACCATGGCTGCATCGGTAGCGGCTTGCACGACGGCCTTTAGGACAGCCTGTGAGGGCGCTTCAATGACGAGCTCCTCGCGATTCATTGAGCGGAGAATGTCGCCGAATTCGGCCCCCTGGTCAAGCTGACCCGGACTGTTGCGCATTTGAAAGGATACCTGGAGGAGGGAGGGCGGGTGAGGGGAGAGGGAGCAGGACGGGGGTGAGGAAAACGTGAGGGGGAGTTGAAGCACCTACAGTAGAAAGGTGTGTGACTAGGAAAATAGTTGATTTTCTAAACAGTCACAGCCACAAATGCTACTCCTTGACCTAATCTGAATCAGATGAACTTACCTTGGCACCATTGAATGTGATGTGTTGCGCAGCCTTCAGCTTCGGCAGGAACTTCACGATCGGCTTATTACGGTCCACGCCATCCTCATTGTTATCCGGCCATTCCAGATTCAGCGTGAACTCGGACGGTCTCAGCTTCTTATAACCATTCAGCCACTCCTGGATCCACGTGAACGCCTGGTCGTTTGGCGAGATCGTTACAGTCACATTTCCCCGGTGTCGCATCCAATCGAGTGACCAGTGCAACCAGCTTAGAAGATATCTGCCCACCAGACCGATCGCAACGAGCCAAACGCTGCCCGCAAAGAAATCATTGTGGAGGTATTGTTGGAGGAACCCGTCCAAAATTGGGGAGAAGGCGGAGAGGAGGGTGATTATAAAGGGGTAGAGCGGGGACGACGCGGGAAGCACCAAATTGAGCACGCTCTGTGCCAGGAAAAGCGCCGGCTTCTTCTGAAAGTCGACGTGACTGTAAGCATGCGTGCCATTGTCCGTCTGGTTAAATTCGCCGAAGGCTGCTGCTGCGTCATCATCGCCGTTCAAGAGGGGAAATCCGTTCGCGGGTGGAAAACCGCCTTGGACCGGTAATCGAAACACGAGTGACGTAAGCAAATCTACGGCGCCTCCCATCCCGCTCATGCTATTCGTCAGCATTCCCGGAATTTCGGCTGCGTCAGCCATTTCTGCCGTGCTCGCCGCTGCCGTACAGTATACAACGGAGCGGATTGGGCGTTCTTGACTGAAGTAGACACTGACAAAATGCAGTGAAGGGTTCGGCCTTGCGGGTACTTCTAATGAATGGAACAGGGAAGGAAGTAGTTCTGGCGACAGAGCCGTAACTAGGAACTGCTGCCAGTAATGTCCGGTCCTAATCAAGCCAGGAACTATAAACGATCTGGGAGCTGCCGAGCCGCACAGGCTCCAGCAACCATTGATAGCTGCGATAATGCGTGAGAGTCACGCGGTTGCTTGAGCTACTACACCGACAAACCAATCCCCCAGGAGTGTCGTTCCTCGAGATTGCCTCAACGACACGCCACGCCATACATCCTAATGCCCACGCAACTCCCGATGTACAGAAATGTACTGTAGTCGTCCGAAAAGCTTTTTCCCGCTTGAAACCAAGCCCTGGGTTTTGACCTCGGGGTCTTCGTGACGCCAAGGTTTCCAGGAAGGTCAGCGATATCACTTGTGAAGTGACGAAGTCGCCGACGACTTTCGTGACGAGTCGTTGATTTCCCACAGCTCCGTAACATTCCCTTTTCTGCACTCGTTTTGCGTTCGCGAAAACGCGTCAGAGAGGAATGGCGTGTTGGCCACGCCAGCAGTGTGACCTCTGGTTGCTGTGTCAGTTCCCGTTACCATCCAAACGGAAAACTATATGAAAGGGCTTATGAGAAGACACTTACAGCTGGTTAATTACCTATGTGACAACCAATGCGCCATCATCGAGAGTTCTGTAAAGCGAAACTTCATGCAGCCTTGACAAATAATTTCACTTTGCTCGTATGGTGGCTACCACCGCTCGATGTAACATCGGGCAATGTGCACTTCTCATTTGGTCGTTCCTGTCAGAATACGTACAGCGGAATGGAATGGCTGGGAAGGGTTGAGATGCAAGGGTTGTACCCTCTAGAGATTACCTCACTGTAGCCTAACATGGAATAATATCATTCGACACACCCCCGTAGGCTACGTGAGGGGCATGAAAACAAGCAAGAGAGACAAGTGGTCACAAGACCAATCAACAACAACAAAGCAAGAGATGCAACTTAGGGTGGTACGACTAGCCACCTTCTGAGACAAATGGCCACAAGGTCATTTCAAGAGTTCATAAACATATATAAATAACAAAACAAGCAAAGCAAGAAACAAGAGGCAAGTTTACAACAAACCAGAGTATGTATGAACAAGGCCAAGCTTCGAACAGAACCTGTGGTGGTCACCAGGCGGGCCTTGGTGAAGATGTCTGCAGTGTAGGCCTCTGAGGCCACAAAGACCAAGCGTGCCTGGTCGCAATGCCGCAGCTCTTGCAGCAAGAAGTATCGCAGTCAGATGTGCTTCAATCTGCTCTCCAGTCGAGGCTCTCAACAAAGAAGGATTATGGCCTTGTTGTCAGAGAACAAGGTCGGTACAGAGCTAGGCCGCTCACCTAGGTCCGTGAGCAAGAAAGTCAGTCAGCGGAGCTCCTGGGCAGCCATGGCACTGCGTAAATCTCAACCTCACAACTAGACTGCGCCACAGACCTCGCTCGAGACCTCCACGACACAACTCCAGAGCCCAGGCTGAAACATTACTCCTGAGTCGACCTGCAGATCTCCTTGCCGTCCACCCAGGACGAGTCGCAGTGTCCGGTGAGTCGCACTGGCTGGCTCCCTCCAAGCAGAAGCCCATGCCTGATGTGGTCGCCAGGTACTTTGCTACCCTCTTAGCAGCCGCCCAGTGAACAAGACGGTATCTCCGTGTTGCAAAGAATCGAGCAAGGACGCTGAGAGAATAGGCGAGGTCTAGTCGAGTATACACCATCAGGTATATGGGGCAACCCACAAGCTCTGCGTACCGACCACTAGGCTCAACCGGCTCGTCTGGAACAGGAGAAGTGAGTCTGTTGTCAACGACAAGAGGGGTGGGCTATATGGTGGAGAACTGAAGCTCGAACCGCTGAATAACGTGCTGCACCATGTTCGACTGAGCCAGAGTGATGATGCGCGCTTCTCTGTCCCTGGTGATTTGCAAGCCGAGATAGCTGCGCAGCTTACCAAGGTAAGTGCAGTTGTGTCTCATCTGCAGTTCTTACTTCACTAAATCCAGAGCAACAGTGTTCGCGGTAGCGAAGACTAGGTCCTTGGCGTACACGAAGATGAAGAATGGAGTGGACCCATAACGAACGAGTAGTGACGGGTCGGCGGAGGAAGGACTGAACCCGAGAGAAGCAAGAGTGGAGCGGAGGTGCCTGGCGGAGACCGTAGACTGGTCATCTTAGGCTCCACTGGTTCGATGGCGGGAAAGTGCCAGTAAATCCAGGAGGACGGCGTAGTCAGATCTCCTCGTGCGGGCTCCCCTAGAGGAAGGTAGTGGAAAAGTCTCGCTGTGCTGCGACATATAGTAGCACCCAAAGAGTATTCATCTTCTGGGTGGGGGAGAAGATATGAAAGAAGTCTACCCCCTCACGCTGACTAAATCCTTTCGCCACGTAACGTTTGAAGACAGGCAACGATCCAGGTGGCAGTTTCACCTTGAAGATCCACAGGCCATCGACTACGTTCGCCCGGGGAGGGGGAACTGCGTATCCACAGGCCATCGACTACGTTCGCCTGGGGAGGGGGAACTGCGTCGACGTACGTGCCTATGAACCTCCAAGACACCATCTCTGTCCATGGCTGCTATCCATTGAGAGGCCCAGTGTCCTTAAACTTCCTCAGCATAAGTACGAGGAGTCGGAATGACTAGAGCATCAGGGTTTTCCTTAGGGGCTAGCAGCATGGTACAGAGATGGGGAGAAGCGTCCGCGAGGAACTCCAGCTCAAACTTCTCGTCCTCTAGGACGTCACAGCTAAGGGAAAACTCGCCCCCGGCGGACAGAGGACAGGTAGGAGGAGCAGCCACCAAACGGGTGGAGTAGTCAAGGCGGCGGGTGACGGCAAAGTCGATGACAATGGCAACAAGGGCCGAGTCAGACGACAGAGAGGCAGAAGGGTCCGAGACAGTCGAGTGAGCACATCTGCTTTCACGCAAGTACCTCCGCTGGCGCACAGGGGGCCCCTAATGAACTGCGGGCACCCTTACTCGCCCCGTCGCGCCCATCACATCCCCCTCCTCGTCGCCACCCCATCACGCCTGCCGCCGCCGGAACCTGTTGCACCTGCCGCGCCCGCGCCCGCGCTCGCACCTACCGTGCACGCCTGCTGCGCCCGCGCCTGTCACCGTCGCACCTGCTGCGAACCTGGCAGGCGCCCTACCATGGCTGCCGCTGTGGGGAGAGGCAGCGAGGGTGGCAGTCGTGGCGGAAGGGGAGGCGTCGCAGCTGATGCCTTGACTTATTACTCCCCATCCGTTACGTTTGCCTCCTCCCCACACTCTCTCTCTCCCCTCCTTGTCGTTTTTTCCTCCTCCCTACACACTCTTTCTCCCCTCCTTGTCGTGTTTCCCCTCCTCACTCGTGCCTTTTCTTGCTCGCACCTTGCCTGAAGCGCACTTGCTGTCAGAATATATTATATATATATTTCTGTATAACTGCATGTAGTTCTAGCTGTAGTGTAGTTATATGGTTTCCTGCTTGTGGTGCACCTCTCGTTACTTGTCTCCTGAACTTGGGCCTTTGGCCCTTAAGTGAAACCCTCTTTGTTTGGCCAACTCACCTCTCGTTCCTCTCGACAAGCACCTAGGCTAGGGTTTATCCTAAGCCTATCTCTTAATCTTGACATGCTATCAGAGCGGGTCACTCTTAGGACCTAATTTTAATGGGCCCACCAAACCCGCCATCTCCGATGGCGGCCTATTTTTTTGCTGCCGGCGTCGAGCTCGCCTCTCTGTGCGGTTCACGGGCGTTTCGCACGCGCTTCAGGTGCGTGCGTCGCGCACGCAATTCGCGCGCGCTTCGGGACGGTGCTCGTGGCCCTCGTTGTCCGCCTCGTCGCGCGGACCCCGCTGCCTCGTCGCCCTGCCGCTGCAGCCCTCGCCGGACGCCCCGTCGCCCCGCGGCGTTTCGTCGCCCCGCGGCCCCCTCGTCGCTCCGCGCCGTTCCGTCGCCCGCGGCCCCGTCGCCCCCTCCCCCCCTCGTTACGTGCAGCAGGAGTTGCGCGCACTGCAGTTGCGCGCGTTCGAAGCTATACGCAGCTGCGCGCGTGGCGTCTGCAGTGCGCGCAGTTGCACACGCAGCTGCACACGAATCTGCAGCTGCAAGTGCAGCCTCTACCCTGCCCCCCCTTCTTCTCCCTCCCCCTTCTGCGCGTGCAGCAGAAAAGGGGGGGGGGGAGAGGGTGTTGGGGGTCGGGGGAGTGGCGGTAGGGTTTCCTGCGCCTGTGGGGTGAAGGGTGATGGGGGGGCGGATAATGGAGGGTGAGGGGATGGCAGGAGGGTTTCTGCAGCGCCTGCCCCCCGCTGTCCCTCTCTCCCTAAAAGCCCCCCTTCCCCACTGCCTTGTTGCTTCCCCCCCCGTACGGCCGCCTGGGTCCCTGCCAACCCCACTTTCAATCTGCCCCTACCCACTCCCCTCGCCCCTCTCAGCCCTCTCCCCGCGCCACGTGCCCCTCCTCACCCTGCCTTCACCCCCGCCACCCACCTCTCCCCTACAGCGCTCCCTTCCCCGGCCCCCCATGTCATGGGGCTCCCACTCAATCTCCCGCCCTCCCCACACCACCCCTCCCTCCCTGCCCTCTCCAACCCCTGTTGGCAAGCCCCCCTCCCAGGACGCTCAGCCCTTGCCACCAACGTACCCTCCTCTGCCCCCCCTACAGTTGGGCCTCCGCCCACCCTCATGACTCCTTCACACGCCCACAACCCCCATGCAATCTCCGCGTCTCGGAGCCTCTGCTTTACCCATGATCCCCCACTCCCTGCCCCTTCCCACTTCAACCCCTCCCCCCACAACACTCTCCGCCCCCCCCTCCCCCTCTGAGGGCGGACCCCCGCCCTCCCACGAGCTCATCCTCCACCTGCACCCTCCCCCTGCTCTCCCCCCCCCTCGCAGACTGCTCCTTCTTACGGAACCCCCCTCCCTGCCCCCTCCCAACATACCCCCCACTTTTGGTGTTTTTCCTCCCAGGGTCTCCCCAGAGGACGGCCCCTCTGCCCACCCCCATGCTGGCATGGAGACGCTCCCCTCCCCCTTTCTCACCCCCCCGTTTCAAACAGCACCCTCCCCTGCTTCCCCCACACTCCGACTCCTCCCCCCCCTTCCTCTCTCCCGATCCCCCTCCTCTCCTCTCCCCCTTCCCTCAATCCCGCCTCCCCCCCCCCCCCTCACTCTTTTCACCCCCCACCCTCTCAGGGACCCACTTGCAACCGTCCCCAGTGCTCTGACCGGGCCGCCCGTCCCCCAACGAGGCTTCCCCCCTCTGCCAGCAGCCCCCTCCCCCCGGTCTCTCCCGCACTGCTCCCAAGCAGGCCGCTCCACCTCCCTCTGGTCCCTTCTCCCCCCCCGCCTGGGCCTCCGAACATTCCCGCCCCTCCCCCGCGCCTTCCCCCCCTCCCTGCACCCCCGTCCCCCCGCTGCCATTCAGCCCACATGCCCCCCCCCCTCTTGGTCCTCACCCTCATCTCCCCCACCTGCCCCACCCCCCCAACTCTCCCTGCCCCCCTTATTCCTGCACCTCCGTCCACCCCCTCGCCCCCCCTACTCCCCCCTCCTCCCCCCAACCGCTCCCTCTCTTGCAGGCAACCTACTGGGGAGTCATGTCGCGCCGACCGCTTTCCGCAACGACCCCGGCCTCCTCTACATTGGGCTGGACGACTGGATCGAAGTCTGGACATGCGCTCTCTGCGACTTCACCTGCGGCGCTGCCCTCGACAGCGCCATGGAGCACATTCAGTCCGACCTGCACGCCACCCGCGTGAAGGCCTCTGTGTCAAAACATATGCATGTTCTATATGTGTAGGCTGTAGTGGGGTAGCCAATATGGGGTACAGCCCCTTTTAGGGTTTCATACTTGTACCCAACTCTTCCATAGTTCATTCATTCCTGTCTCTTGATTCTGATATGGTTTCAGAGCAGTAGGTGCGTAGGACCGTTTTTTTTCGGGCCCACCTACCGCTACCCCACGACTGTGACTGTGACTGTGCCTGTGACGTGCTGCGCTGCGCGCGCCATCTGCCTGCTGCCTACTGTCTGCTGACTGTGCGGTCTGCTGCTGCTTAGAGCGCGCAGACCTAATTCCTGCGCGCGGCTCGTTTTTTGCCCCACGTGTCGCCCACCCTGCCCGAGTCGCGCCTCGGCAGCCCGCGCGCGGCTCGCTGCTGCTTCGCGCGCCACGTCTGCAGCCCGCGCAGCGCGTTGCAGCCCCGCGCGTCGCGACCGCTGCCCGTGCGTCGCGCTGCAGCCCCGCGCGCCGCGCGCGCTGCCCGCGCGTCGCGCTGCAGCCCCGCGCGTCGCGCTGCAGCCCTGCGTGCCACGCGCACTGCCCGCGCGTCGCACTGCAGCCCCGCGCGCCGCGACCGCTGCCCGTGCGTCGCGCTGCAGCCCCGCGCGCCACGACCCACCTGCCTCTGACGCGGCCGCGCACTGCTTCTGACGCGGCCGCGCCCTGCCGCCGACGCGACGCCAGCCCTGCAGCTGACGCGGCCCCGACCTGCCGCTGACGCGGCCCCGCCCTGCAGCTGCCGCGGGCCCGACCTGCCACTGACGCGGCCCCGCCCTGCAGCTCCCGCGGCCCTACTCTGCAGCCGCTGCTGCGGCCCCGCCGTCGCCGCCGTCGTGCGCCTACCCTGCCGCCGCCCGCCGAGCGCCGGCCCTGCCCGCCACTGGTGAGCACCTGCCTTGTTCGCGCACTCACCGCCCGGCTGCCAAGGAAGACTTTGGCCCTTTGCGCGCACTCACCCTGCTGGAGCAGAAGGCTCCGGTGGCTGCCTTCCTTTGCGGCCATCCTTAGCGCAGCGGCATGTGCACTTTGGCTACGATCCGCTGCTAGATCCTTCCTTGTTGTGTCCCTCAGCTGGCCCCCTCTTAACCCTTGAATGCCCAACTCATGTGCGTACGATCGTGTATGTCAGGATGAACGTAATATCAATTTCACTGTCAGTCTTCACTCCAACTCCCCCATCTGCGCAGACCACCAATTACTCCATTCTCAAACCCTACATTGATAACACGTTACCGTTCATCTTCGTTAATACTAAAAACTGGAGACCTACACTTCTCAACCCCCAGTACAGTACACAACTGCCCAGGTTTCACTTGTATGTTGCACCTCTTCACGCTACTTCTGCCACCCACCATCTGTCAACCCTCTGGTGTGACCTAGGCGCTTTCCGAATAAAACCAGCACGCAAGCATAGCCACCACAAATTTCAGTTTGTAATGGTTGACAGCTCTACTGGTACCCACAACCACCACCAACCTCCTTCCCCCTTGTATAAACACCCACGCCCGTGGATCCGCGCACCCTTCTGCGTGGTGGGCTCCCACTTGGTAGAATGTTAACGCCCCTACGAGTCCGTTGCCTCAACATCAATGGTATCAATACGCCGGTTAAACGAAACGCTTCAAAACGCTGGCTCTCCAGCTCCCCACCGCACACAGACATTCTCATTTTAGTGGATACACGTCTCTCAAAAAACTTACCTAGACTGTCACTCCAACTCCGCCCACACTCTTCGGTACACGCTCCCACCCTTTACGCACTGAACTCAAGTGGCCATCCATGTCCGCAACCCGGCGGCATCTCCATCTTATCTTTCAACAGAGCAGTATCTCTCACCTCCCCGTCCTCCTCCGCCGATGGCCGCCTCCTATCCGTACATATCAACTTCCTGCGTGAGCAACTTCGCCTCATCGCTATCTATGCGCCAAGACCCGCTACTGACCGCCGGGTCTGGTGGAGATCCATCCTGACTCCCGCACTGGAGCAACCCACTGCAGCTGCTGCCACGATCCTCGCCGGTGACTTCAACTCGGTAGTCTCCCCCCTAGACCGTAACCGTTCGCTACTTGGTCACGAACTTAGCGAGGCCACCATGGTGTCTAATCTCTTACTATCACACGCTCTGTCCGACGCGTACCGCTCACTCCACCCTGCCGCCCCCGTATTCTCCTACTTTGGCCGCCGCGCCAGTGCTGGTACAGCTCTCCCGCCCGCCTCCAGACTGGACCGAATCTACCTCTCCAGTTCATTCCTCCCACGGACCTCAGAAACCTCCTACCTCTGGACCCCAACTGACGTTTCTGACCACTCCTTCGCACCCCTCTGCACCCTCACATTCGACAACCCAACCATGGCACCGCGACCTTGGCGTTTCAGCTCTTCTCTTCTCCATCGGCCCCAAGTCGTTACCATTATCGAATCTCACCTCCCCTCCTTGCCATAACGCCCTTCCTCCGAAGCATGGGACTCCTGGAAACTGGCCCCCACCCTTAGCCTCAAACAGTTCTCGAACGAAGAGCGCAAACGGGTTACCAACACTACCGACCACCTCGTACAACTCATCAGCCACCTCCAGCTCCAAGCTGCCCTCTCCCCTCTGGACCAGGATGCGACCACACAGCTCCTCAAAGCCCGCACTCAACTAACAAGATATGAGGCATCTAAAACCGCTGAGCTCGCTCTCAAAGCAAAGCTTAAAGTCGAGGGCCATCGGGAGATGGGAACCTCCTCCTTACTGGCAGGACTAAATTCCCGCATCAAATACTCATTAATCTCGTCGTTTACACTACCAGATGGACAAACCATCTCAGATCTGCGAGCCATGACCGGTGAATGCACCAGATTTTTCCAGTCCCTCTACAGTGGGGCAACCCCAGGCGTGCCAAACCCTGCCTTCTGGGCTCACATCGCCCCCTCTTCACTCCCTCCCCGACTTCTCAACCACCTGCAAGCCCCCTTCTCCCTTCTGGAAACTAGCAAGGCCTTAAACCAGCTCACCCGCGGCAAAACCCCCGGCTCTGATGGCATCCCGGGCGAGCTCTTCCGACAATACAAGACCCGCTTTGCCCCTGCATTTCTCTCACTCTTCTCGTCACCGCACATCTCCGCTTCCCTCCCGCCGTCAATGCTGTCAGGCCGCACCGTCCTTATTCCCAAGAGGGGTAGCTCCTCTATGGTTGACAACCTTCGCCCTATCACCCTCATGAACTCGGACTACAAGGTGCTAGCCCTATGCCTCGACAACCGGTTGCAACTCGCTCTCCCTCTGATTATACACCCCTCCCAAACCGCTTTCATTAAAAGCAGAAAATTTGGCGATACGATCAACGATACACTTGACATATTCGACTGGAGCTCAATCACGAGAACCCCCCTGCTCGCCTTAACTGTCGACTTCCGCAAGGCCTATGACCTGGTTGATCGGGCCTTCCTCTTCCAAGCGCTTGCCATGGTGGGGCTTCCCGAGCAGTTCATCGCCTAGGTTCGCCTCATGCACACTAACACCTCCACCTGCATCTCCGTTAACAACCTCGCTGGACCCACCTTCCCTGTCCGAACGGGGGTCCGACAAGGATGCCCTCTCGCCCCCCTCCTCTTTGTGTGTGTCATTGAAATCCTACAGCGCTACCTATCGCTCTTCCTCCCGGGTTTCCCCCTCTCTACGACGCAGCGCTGTCTCATGGCCTGCTATGCTGACGATGTCACCATCTTTCTCTCCTCCGTCAGAGAGCTTGGGACCACACTTTTGCACCTCCGGACCTTCGCCGCAGTCTCTGGAGAACATCCCAACTGGAACAAATGTTCAATTATCCCTTTTCACATTGCCCCGGAACAAATCCTCCTAGCTGGCCCCATTCCCATTCGCACTCCTCAAGAGGCATAACGCATTCTTGGCATATACGTCGAACGTGCACAACCAGGTGACACTACCTGGTCCACGACTCTCTCTCGCGTTCAACGCGCAGCTAAGTTCCTTGCCGCCCTTCGTGCCACAGCTACCTGCCGCAAGTCACTTGCGTCGGTCTTCTTAAACTCTATTATCTCCTTGTCCGGCCGCTTTCAACCCCCCTCCCCCGACATTATCAAACGTCTTGACGTCTTGGTCGGGAACTTCCTATCTTCTTCTCGCTTCAAGGAACACGGCCTTGCGGTCCGTCTCATCCCTAATCGGCTCTTATATAATTCCACTCGCCATGGAGGCCTTGGAGCGATCGCCCCTTCCACCCAAATCCGCGCTCTAGCTGCTCATCGCGCGCTCCGCCGCTTCGGCGCCTCACCATCAGAGGAGGTAGCGAGAGCCGCCGTCTGCCTCCCTTTTGGCACACACTGTCTCCTAGCGCACCCTGCCATCCTTCAATCAGGCATTCTGCCAACGGTAATCCCGAGTCGAGCACTCGCTGAACTACACGCATTGATAGAGATCACCCCGGACATTGCCCCACCCCGCCTCGTCCCTATGTGTATAATGGGTGAGCCCACCGCCTTCAACCGTTTTATTCTCAAACTGAATGGGAAGCCCTTCAGGATTCTCACGCGTGAACGCTTCCTCCTATCCATGCAAGTTCGCGTTGGCCATTTGATCTCTCTTATCTTTCACTCGCTTGGTGTGGTCTCCTTTAAACATTTCACCTCAGTGTTTCCCCTAGCCAACTCCTCCTCTGGACGAAGAGTCTGGCGAGAACTCGTCCGTGCCATCCCCAAGTCCTGGTGGTCAGCCCTTCGCTCCCCCCCTCCTCCCTCGGCAGCCCTTGGGGAATGGTTCGTCCCTAAAGAAGACTCCGAGACCTCCCCCACTCTTGCTCTTCAGGTCACGGCCTTCTCCCCTCCGTCGTCGCTCTCAGTCTCTCTTTACCATGTCCTCCCCAACCGGTTCATCGTCCGGCCGTCGTTCGGAGATGGCACCTTCCACATAGGTGCCCTCTCTGCGGTACACGTTGTCGGGTCCTGGCTTGCAGGCCCCTTCCATACAGGTGCAGGGCTCGGCGTGCGGCTCGACATCCTACAGGACGGATGCCCCAGCATAGCTGACATTCGTCGCCGGCTCTATACTCAGCTCCCCCTCGACCACGCCGCCCGCTGGATCCACATCCTCCCCGCCCCTCCTCCCCTCCTCCCCGACCTCTCCCATGACTTTTTA